ATTTAAAAGCCAACACAGAGTTGACATAGATTAGAAAATGAAGAATAATGACCTACTTTGGGGAGGGATGTTTTTGCTCAAAATAAAGCTTGACAATGAGTGTATGTGAGTTCATAGTGTATTTCATTCTTGCACTTAAAATATTTTCAGAACACTGAGATTAAAATGGCAGAGAACAATAGTATTACATGCTTGCATACAAGTTTGACTTTGTTCCATGTTTGTCATAATAGAAAATAGAAAATGCAATATTCACTCAGCATCCATAATTCAACCATGTTCTTTATTTGCTTTGGATTTTGTTAAGTAGTGTGTCAGTCTACTTTCAGGCCCTAGAGAAAATCTGTGTTAGAGAATGCTAATTCTGCCCCGAAAAAAAACGTCTGGAGCGTGACCTTGCCAAACAGAGGTGAAGCCCCCTGACTGGGTGTAATTTTTCTGCTCTTTATTCTGTTTTTCTTTGCACAGATGAAAATTTCCTAGTTAGAAGGTTACTGTCTTAAATTAAGACTTCATATTTATTTTTTCTTATTTTATCATGTTCCACTCTACTTTTGTGGCATTTTCCCTACATATATGGACCACCCAGTTGTTTTAAGCCAGCTGTCAAAATAATATTCAGTAAGAGGATTGTGTTCAGTTTTGCAGGATGTAGCTGTGCAAGTGGTTAAGCAGAGAATCTCGATATGGCAAACCCATGTCTTATTGCTAACCACCTTAGCAAGCTCAATTAGCTCAATTTTTACAAGTCTAACCTCTAAATATGGATTAATTTTGTTAGTCTACCTGTGGCGAAATGATTTGTAAAGAAATGTTTTATGTGAGCTAAGTAGTAAAAATTGCGGCCTTTTCCTGTTTGAGTTAGACTGTCTGGCATTCACATAATTTTTGGAAACACTCATTCTTTGCCTTTTAGCAAAGACCAGCTTTATCTGAACTCTTGTGTTCTGTCTGTCAGACTGATTCAAGAAGTATCCATTCCCTTGCTAGCTTGACTTTACAACCAAAATGTGGAAAAGTTCTTCCCTGAAGAAGGAATGGGCTTGTTTAGGACAACTGTGAGTACTTTATCAGTTGACATCTATCTGTAAGAAATCTGCCATTTAAAACTGGTTCAGGGATGTCATGCACAGCTGTCCACTCTGTTCAGACACCAATCATTCATAAAAAGCATCTCTCAGTGCATTTGAAAATGTTATTTGAGTAACATTTCTGCTCAGGAACTTTGAGATCCTGACAGGACTTTGAGGTGATAGTCTTTTCTCCACTTGACCCAGAATCTGATGGACTTTCGCTGTTTGCTCTTACTCTGAAGGCCTGTTTGCTCCAAATCAGTTTCCTCCCAAATATATAGGTTTTTTACTTTTATCTTTTGAAGGACTGAGTAGTTATGAGACCTGTACGTTCCCAGTAAGAAAAAGCAGTGTCAACCAACTGATCTTTATCAGCCACTGCAGAGGTGGATCTCTTATACTGAGTTGCTTCATTTCTGGATCCATTGAGAAAACCACTGGGACGGGTAGCTGCTCCTCTGCTGTACTGAAAGGTCTGGAGACAATCATAAAAGACCATCCCACCCCTCAGGAAGAATAGAAACGTTTTACAGCAATAAAAGAAATCTATCTCAAATCAGTTCAGTCTGGGGTATGAAGATGCGGATCGGAGCGGTAGTAACAGGCTTATGTATTGTAAAGGTAAAATGAACTATGCTGAAATAGAATTGTAGGCTGAATGAGAGTCTAACCCTCAGTGTGGCCCTTGCTCCAAATCAAGCCTTACATGTTTGTTTTTGTTTGCCTAAGACATTGCACAATCAGGAAGTGGGAGGAAAAGTTGTTTGCTTTCATATCAAGGGAAGTTTATTCGTGAAAGATGCAAGTAAAATGCACCGCTGCTTAAGGATTCCAGATGGTGAGAACTCTGATGTTTGGAAACCTGCAGCTTTTACCTCAAATATTAAGTTTATGTAGCTGGTAAAGAATTATTCTGTACTGAAATGAATGTCTACAGTCATCTTTGTTTCAAGAGCCTCAGCTGCTACACAGGAGCCCTCAGTATCTATGACTAAAGTGGAGATGAGGGTTTGGTTTGGGTTTGGGGTTTTTTTAAGTACAAACCCCCCCCCCCCCCCAACCCCCCCCCCCCGAGGTGATATTTACTTCATAATCACTTAGAATTACTCCTCAAAGGAAGTTTTTGCCCAGCGCTCTGTAATTACTCTTAAATATGACTGTAATAGCTTTATCCCAGCCCAGATTCTCCTCTCTCTCTTGAGCAGAGCCGATTTCCTGATAAGATGGTTCAGTTTACTAAACCAGCATGTAACTTACCATGTCCCGCATTCCCCTCCCAGTTGCTTTTAGATTAGTAAGAAAAAACATATCTCTACAAGGTTATGTGAGAGGTCGTAGCAGTACAAGAATGTAGGGAGGGGACACACAGCAAGCAATTGGGAGGAAGCTGTAGCAGCCCAGTGCTGTTTGGCTTAGGACACTGTATAAATGACTGAGAGTTAAACTTCATCATCACAGAATCATCTAGGTTGGAAAGACCTTGAAGATCATCCTCCCTTTTCGTGGGAGTCTCCGCATAGTTTCTATATTTTTGCTCACATTAGATCTTCAGATCCTTCATACATGTTCCCTCATCTTTCACACCACCTATCCTGCTTAGCAATGATGTTTCTTTCAACCTACCAGTTTGGGAGAAGCAATACTTTTAATCAGGCCTTTCTTACTTGAAAATATTTTTGGCCGTGTGAAATAAAGCATCTGCATGTGTGATGACTTGTTGAGAATTGCCATGAGAATTGTTTACAGTGGTGGGTGGTGGGACTGATGTGTTCATGGGTGTGTAGCCTGAAAGGGGTTAAGTTTTTCTTCTCTCTGATACTTTCTTTGCAGTCTGATTTTACCTAAATATACCTTCTTTTACACTTGCATATTCATGTCACATTTGGCACCATCCTACACAGTCTGTCCATAAAACCTCAGTGTCCCAGATTTAGCCAAGTTTTTATTATTCAGGTATTTATTATTATTATTATTATTATTATTATTATTATTATTATTATTAATATTAATATTGTCAAATGTAAGTGAGCCATGTGCATGCTTCACAGCCTTCTTAATATTTAAGTGGCTTCAATTCTACTGTGTGTCTGCACAGATGTATCTGAATGTTTCGGTATTTGCTGATATGTTGCGCCAGCTAAATTAGAGGTGTTGGAATTCGTCAGACTCCTTTTGTGTCCCTCCCCCAGCCATTTTTCCAGAGCCTGAGAAAGCTCTTCTAAAGAAGAATGTTTACACAACTTTGCATTGGTCACCAAGTACATGAAGCTTTGATTTTGAATGACTAGAGAAGAATCAGCAGCAATGTTTTTTATGCTCTTGGAAGTGTTAACTCTTCAGTTTGTTTATGGCAGTGGTAAGGCTGAGGACGAGCACACAGGATATTTTTATATTTGCAGAGAATGGTTCAAAGCTTAGGCGCTGCCTGTCTGCCATTTGCAATCAGCAGCAGCCATTGTGGAAGGACTGCTTCTTGCTGTACTTGATAGAGGACTCTGTTCCAGATTAACTCTCCACCCTTTGCCAGACTTCAGCTGGAGGTTTCTTACTCTGCTAAGGCTTACAGAAATGCAGTGTTGCAGTTCACATGCAATGTGCCAGTATATCAGCTTCTTTCCTAGCTGTTACTCCCAGTTTCCCTGGTTAGCAGACTGAACTATCGGTGTTAGTTTTAACATTTAAAGGAATCAGTTGTTACAAATGTAAACTCTTAAATTCAGTAGTTGGTGTGGCTACATGATTTGTGATGTTCTCTTTAGATTCCAGGGGAAAAATCCCCTTAACACAGGGGTATATGACGTTAAAAATGAATATCTCCTTTAAAAGCTCTTAGAAAACACCCTGCCTTTTTCAGTTTGGGACATGTTGATGAAGGTCCTAAATTTTCACATGCAATTTAATAGTAATTGGAAGTGTTTTGCCTTCAATTTGTTTTTTACATTATTCCCACTGGAAAACAGCTCTGCATATCAAGCTGATGTTAGCAGGACCCATGGGGAAGCAGTATGTCTGCCTGTACTGTGCCCATATCTTGAGACTTGCCAGTGTTGGCATGATACGCATCAGGATATAAACTTATCTGTTTTCAGAAAGTTTTTCTTCGCTTTTGCCTCCCAGAAAAATTAAGTTGGCACCATCTGTATAAAAACTGCTTCTGTGAGTCCTGAGGTGCCAAGGATGTCACTCAGGAACCTTCAGCTGTAAAAAGGCCTGAATTCAGTGTAACTTCTTTGGTTTGTTCTGTAATTACATCTTTGGTAATTCATGCAGTTAAGTGTGTCCTGCCGTAATGTGGTTAGTAACCTCTGCAATTTAGCACTGTTCAAACAAGCAGGTGCTTGAGGTGAAAAGCAGAGCAAAAAGTTGAAAAAATACATAGTCTCAAAAATATTGAATAGCTTTGATTTCTGAAGGTGAAATGCACAAACAGCAGGATTATTTTTCCCCCTCTATATGGAAGAAAGATGAACTCTGTAGGGAATGGTACAGAAACACAACTTGGTTTAGTTTAATTTAGGAGCTGAATCAGCTTTTAGAGGAACTGAATATTGTCGACTGAAAGGGGAAATTGGGATTGACTAGAATGACTAGAGCAAAGTCAGTCACTGTGAATGTTTTCTACATTAATTCCTGAAGCCTAGGCATTCCATGGGGATATGTTACATCACTAGGGACATAGAAATTGAGTGGGACTAGATGCACATAAGGTATATGGCATGGGTGAACGAGACAACAGCCTGCGTAAAAGTACAACTACAAAAACTTTTTGATGTGCCTTCTCACTTTCAGAGCTATTATCTTCTTGTGAGGCAGTGGAGGGATGCCAAAAGATGTAAGGACAAAGAGGGGAGAACTTGCCAGTACTTGGTTTGTGAATGAAAGGAGGTCTTAATAAAAGAAAAGTGACATTTAAATGCTCTCTTCCAGTTTTCACCTGGCAGCCACCAAAGGCCATGCAGAGTGCCTCAGGATTATGGTGACACATGGCGCAGATGTGACAGCCCAAGATGGTGCAGGTATGTCTCTGTGAACCTACTCATGCAGCATAATACAGTCACATTGCTTCTATTGTTCTTAACATGCAGAGTGCAACTATTAATTTGACAACACTTCTTTTCTACACACACCATGTAGGAAAGCTAGTTGTAACACTTACAGGTTTAGCCATACTTGTTTTTTTTCTGCACATAGAATTCAAATTCTAAAGCCTTTAAAAACTTTTGCCCTAATACTATAAATGTCAACTTATGGTTGTACATTTAGTGTGCTCCAGATGCAAAATAGTTGCTTGATTTTAGTTTTTTGTAGTTTTATTTTGAAGTAAAAAAAATAATCTCCCCCCAGCTCTTTTTGTTAACTTCTTTCAAGGCTTTTTATAGGTTAAATCGAGATCTTTGGTGTTGCTTTTATGTGTATCCAAGCGATTAACCCCATTAATTGTACAGGAGTTGCAGTAAGACATTTCCTAAGGATTATGACATAGTGAAAAGAGCTGATACAGGCCATAACAGAGCTGAGAGCTGTTAAGTATGCTGTTTCAGCCCTCAGAAGTCCTATGCCTTAATTACTACTCCACTAGGAGAATGATGGGAGCTGAATTTGAAACTGGCAAACTCTTCTTAATAGATTTCAGTTGACATATCTGTGGAATCTGTGCCCGGCATTTTTTCTCCCTAGCTGAGTCACCTGAGTGAGCTGTCAGCGTTCGGTTTCTCTAGTAATGATCTGTAAACGTTGCGCCCAAGGGTTCTGTTTTGGCCACTGATTACAGTCTGAGTGAATTTGTCATACATGGAAATGATTTGCCTCTATAAGGAAGTGTCTGTGATACTGGAAGAAGCATTTAGATTATACACAGTGATAAGAGAATATACGTACCTGGTGCAGACTATTATTTAGAATTCATACTTCATCTTGCCTCGGGATTTATTAGTTGTTTGGATAATAGGAGGTTGCCTGCTCTCACCTGAGAATGTTGACCCAGTATTCATTAGGGAAAATCTTGTCTGTAGTAGTCACATTATTTATAGTGAGATTCTGCTGTCACCAGTGGCTCTGAGTACTAAATCTTGGCTTCTTCTCTTCTTAGTTACATAGATAATTTGTTCTTTTGCTATCTTGGCCTCTTTAATTTTTTAGATGCTGTGTAGGATGAAACTAGAGGAAAGACTGCAGTCTTTCATCATAAATCCATAGTCAGTAAATCACTGTATTGCATAGCCAAATATAAACTCACAGATGCTAAATAAATTAACAGAAATGGGAATCTATGAGATGCAAACCAATGTAGACGTGTTCTGAGTCCCCTTCTATGTGCAGTCCACAGATGATACAAAATTGTAGTGGTAGCTGGTAATTTTGGCTGGTTTTGCTCTCAGTGCTGGGTTCCTTTTTTATTGCCAAAGGGAAGAAATCATGAAAACACTTGACAGACATCTCTCTGCAAGGGAGGCTGAGTAATATGGGAAAATTGTTTTTTAAGAAACAAAACAAAACTGCGCAATCTTAGACTTACTTCTGCCAAGGTATAGTCTGACACAGTGTTTATGTCATTCCTTTATATGAAGCTAGACATTAAGATTATTCTGTTACCTGCCTGAACAACAGTCTGTCGTAAACACATTCTGTTTGATGTAGGTTTTTGTCTTATTTTCTCTATCCTTACTTTTCATGTGTCATGACAAGAACAAGACAGATAATTCAAAATGTTGCCTTTGTTGTGGAGAAGTTTATGCCTGTTTTTTGGTGTGATTGAATACTTAATTTGCTATGCTTTTATTCATTTAGGGCACAGTGCTTTACATCTTGCAGCAAAGAACAGCCACCCAGATTGCATTAAGAGGTTACTTCAGGTAAAAAGTTAATTTTTTATTTAAAGTTTTCCTTTTGTTCCTCTACATTGGTTCCACTAGACATTGATGCATTTCCTGCTAATAATCTGCATCATATCTTGTCCCTATACTGTTGTCCTATCTCCTTGCGATCAGGAGAGGTGCTTGAGTTTAAAGACCTTTTGGGCACTATGAATGGATGATAGAAATCAGGGTAGTATCTACCCTGAGTGATCCACAAACAAATACAGTTTTCCATGTGCAGCTGATTTGACATAGCAAGTTTGGATTTCAAGCAGGTTGCATCTTCTAACTTGCTGTGATTTGTCTGTGTGGTTGGATGGCTTGGAAGTAGATAGGTTAAGAGGTATAGGGGAAAAGGATTTTTCACTTCTGGGGGGATTTTGATATTGCTCCACTGCAGTACTTTCTGGCTGTGGTTGACCATAGAAATGTCTGTCAAGTTTAAAGTCAAAGGGAGAAGAAACGAAAGTAATTTAGATGCTAAAATATGGAAAAAATTGAATCCTCGGTAAAATGAGGCAAAGGACAGTTAGAAAGGGAATATAAAGAATGGGGAAACAAAAACAAAAGTGAAGATGAAGATTCTTGTGATGTTGATGCTGAAGATGTGCATTAGTAAGCAGCAAGATGCATTATCTACCTCAGCCCCATTTCAGAGAGCCAGGTGAGTTTTGGTGGAGGTGATCAGAGTAATGGGACAGATTTTTAGGAGTTTGGAGTTATCAGTAAGACTGTGGGTCAGACTACAGATGAAATAATAAATAATAACCCTGCTTGAGCACAGAAAGAGAACAGATCCCATATCCCGAACCTCTAAATTGCTTTTCCCTGGTTACCTCAGGGCTCTACAGTCATCCCATGACTGACCCCTGTCAATGTCTTTGACAATATTGGGTCCAGTTTCACTGATTCCCACCTCCATACTTGTTGCAAGCCGATTCCCCTGTTCCTCCACACCTGGAAAGGGTTATCATTAATCATTGAGGCTCCCCTCTTGGGGATTTCATTGCAAATAGCTACTTCTAACGCAAACCCATTTACAGCATAAACAGTGACATCAAGCTGTTACTGATGGTATCGCATGCAGCAGCATGGTCAATTCATAGATCATGCTCCTGCATGATACACATCAGCTCATACAATAGATCAGTATTTATACTAAATATCTGCTGCCCATTCACTTACCAGTTACAACTGTGGAGTGCTTTTGTTGATATCTTGCTAATTTTATTTAAATATGGAGATTTCTAAATATGCTCGTAAGTGCAAAGCCATTGGTAATATTTTTCAATAATATATGCTGTTAGGATTGCTTTCTTGCTTCTGTGGACCAGCTTGGTGATATAAAGTGTACATATTAAGAATGTCTAGTCCTGACACGCTGGAGTTGAAGTAAGACAGACTAAATAATTGTTTTACACAGGCAGAATCTTAACATTTTTGTTACAGAATGTGGTAATCAATGTGAACTTGTTTTTGAAGGAAATCATAGAAGTGTTGGAGGCAGTGACATTTGAAAGTCAAAAGCTCTAATGTTTGTTTTTTAGAAGCCCATTATTTCAGGGTCATGTCTTCTCGTGTCCAGAGAAGAGCAGTGAAGCTGGTGAAAGGTCTAGAGAACAAGTCCTGTGAGCAGCAGTTGAGGGAACTGGGGTTGTTTACCCTGGAGAAACAAGAGACTGAGGGGAGACCTCATTGCTCTCTACAGCTACCTGAAAGGAGGTTGTAGTGAGATGGGTGTCAGTCTCTTCCCACCTAACAAGCAATAGGACAAGAGGAAATGGCCTCTAGCTGCACTAGAGGAGGTTTAGATTGGATATTAGGAAAAAATTCTACCCTAAAAGGGCTATCAAGCATTGGAATAGGCTGCCCAGGGAAGTGCTTGAGTCACCATTGCTGAAGGTATTTAAGAGGTGTGTAGATGTGGCACATAGGGACATGGTTTAGTGGTGGGCTTGGGAGCGCCAAGTTTATGGATGGACTTGGTGATCTTGAAGGTCTTTTCCAACCTAAATGATTCTCTGATTCTCTTCCTTTGCTGTAAACTAAACCTAAAATTTTCTGTACCAAAGCAAGTCTTGATAAAGATTTGAAATATATATTTTTTTTTATTCGTTATTTTGTAGTCTAGATTGATCTGTAGTAGTTGGTGGCTTATAATACCACAAAATATAACTAAATTGTTGACGCTTTAGTTTTTACAAATGCAAATGAAGCCTTATTGCCTTTGAGGGAACTAATTGCCTAGGTTATGGTCACTTTAACTCTTACTGTAATGTAAAAAAATACAAAGCTTTTCTGAGATGAGAGTTTCTTTCTTTTTTTTATTTCCTGATTTAAATTGTTCCAAAACTGTAACTTTTTTTTTTTTAATATCTCTCTCACATGAGTTTTTCCTATGGCTTCAGTATAAACTGAAAGGAGAAGATCAGACTGATAGAGAGAAGGGCTGTGCCTTTCTTCAGTACTCTGTTCTGGAGTAGTTCATAAAACTTTTCTCAGAGATGTTCAGCACTCTGTCCTTAGCCAAAACCATGTTTTACTTTCTTGGTGTTTCTCTAATTGCTCTATTTCCCCTTCTCCTTATTGAACTGTGCAGAGTAAATGTCCAGCAGACAGCAGTGACAATTCTGGGAAAACAGCTTTACATTATGCAGGTAACTACTTTGTTGAAAGCTTGTACTATCTATTTTATTGTGCTTGATATTCCTAGCTCCTCAGTCTGGTGGAGCTTTTTAGGTTCTAACTACATAAATCTAGTGAGTCCACCTGATGGTTTACAGATTGTGGGTATTTTTTTTAGATAAATACTATGAGTGCTGAATTTCAGTTAATTACAGTTAACAAACTTGACTTGCACACTTGCAAGTGCAGAGCTATTGGAATACTTAAGGTTAAGTTTATTTTTATTTAATTCTTCAAAGATTGTATCTTATGCTAATTTGGATCATTAATATTGGTTGTATTTCTTTTTAGTCCTTCTCTCCTTCCTTCTTAAAGCAGAGAAATACAATTTAATTTGGTTTTGGTTCTTTGTTTTTTTGTTGTTTTGTGTATTTTTTTTTTTAGCTGCATGTGGTTGCCTTCAGGCAGTTCAACTTCTGTGCGAACACAAATGTCCAATCAATGTCAAAGATTTGGTATGTACCTCTTCTCCGGTGGTGTACTTAAGATACTTCAGTGCTTTTATCACCCTCCACTCCAGTCAATCTCAGGTGCAGCAGTTCAAAGCAATACTATACTTGTATTTCTTCTTGGATTTCTCTGTTGGAGAGAGTTCATTTTGCAGATTGCCATAGCAGAGGTGGGGAAGTACATCACAGTCTCATACAGTAGTGGCATGATATGCTGCTTGTTAAATTGAGGTATTGGTATAAGTAGCTAGAATCAATGCTGACACATTCAAAACATGATAAAAGTTTTTCCATTGACTCTAGTAGGCTTTGGAAAAAGCCCATTAGGTGGTCAAGTGCTGTCAAATGCTCACAAGTCCAACCAGAGTATGATAAGTCTGAAGGAAAAAATTGTACTTGATGTAGTCTGAAAGCTCAGGGACACTATATTCATTATTATGAAATGTTTGCAAACAACCAGTCTATTTTGGGGAATGATGCAACTGCCTGATAGAAAACCCTCTGATGAAAAAGGGAGGGGGCCTGACAGAAATGAGGTGAAAAAAAAAAAAAAAAAAAAAAAAAAAAGGGGGGGGGGGATAAAAATAAACTTGTTGATTAGTTTTCAACTTCTCTCTGTCTCCTTCTCACCTGGTCTTTCTAATAAAAAAAATCTGTCACAGAGGTTAGACCTAAAATTTAAGCAGATGCATTTTAAAGGCAGAAAAGGCTTGTTCAGTCTTAAGACTGTAGGAACATCTTAAAACTGTTCTCATCTTTTGTCACGGTTGATCATAGGAAAGAAGGAGGGAGCCAGAGCAACCTCAGAGGTGCGTGACAAAATGATAACAAGCAATGGTCAAAATTTGGGCAGTGGATGCAATTGAAAATTTCAGTTAGGTACTAGAAAAACATAATATGACCATGAAGGTGTTCAAACACTGAAACTGGTACCAGACACATCATGGTGTATCTGCCTTTGGAGATGCTTAAAACTTGACTGGATGTCTCTGAGCAATGTACTGTAACCTGAAGTTCGCCTAGCTTTGGATTGAGAGCAAAGGGGGAGAAACCCCAGATGACCTCTGAAGGTGTCTTCCAACTGGCATTATTTTGTGATTATATGAAATGTGTTTTTGCCTTGTACTTAGTTAGAATTACCGCTTTTGTTGTGGAGCAACTTAAAGGTATTGTGTAGTTCCAAAACCATTATGTTATAGCATTAGGCAAACAGAAAAGGGAGTACAAAGCAAAAAGCACTCCTACTCCTAATGCTTTGCATCCCCAGTAGTCAAGAAAGGAATTAAACCCAGCTATATTTATGATTCATGAGAAAAATGTGCTGATAGCGCCTTGTTTGTGCTGTATAGAAGTTCATAGCTGATCTTTAAATCTCAGTGATATTTATAGGTGGATGGATAATTGTTCATAGCTTCTTTAAATGCATTCCTAGGATGGGAACATACCTCTGCTGCTTGCAATACAAAATGGTCATACGGAAGTCTGCAAATACCTTCTGGATCATGGAGCAGACATCAACACCAGGGATAAAAATGGAAGGTACAGCAGGTTAACATGTTAATTCTTCCCCAAGGCTGACTGTCAGATGAAGCTTTCTTCTCAAATCCTTCCCAAAATAGTTTTTGTTAGGTGAAATAATGCCTTCTGTACTGGACAGCGTATCCTGATATTTTGAGAAAGCTTACAGAATTCTGCCTAAAGGGAAAAAATGCAACAGAAAAAACTATGTAACTATAAAATTAGATGTGCCTGTAAGATTTCCCTTAAGCTACCAGAGCATTTTTAAAGAAATCCTACAAGAATCTAATTGATAGCACTTGCCCACATATCACTTCGTACATGTCACAGTTTTAAATGCTGCTCTCTTCTTGGCATGAGTTGGTTTCTCCAACTTAAATCCTAAAAGTTTTACTTAGCAGTGACATATGAGGAGGGCTTTTTTTTCTACCATAATGTAGCCACAGCAGCAAGAGAAGAGTACCATAAAGCTATATAATGGAGATGCTGTTGTCTTAGAGACATGTAGAGATTTGTTGCATTAATAGATAGTGCATGTGTCAGAAAATGGATTTTAAAAAACAACATCCTTGTAGTGAAACATGCACTTGTTTTGAGGATACTGATGAAGATCAAGAGTCTTTGAAAACTGTGTTTTATAAACAGTTGGTTAAACTGTGAAGGTAAAGCAGGATGCTGAGAAGACTTGGCACTTACACCTGATAGCAATCTTGATTATTGTATGTGATACAATGCTTATATTGTTCTTTGACAGCACCTGGGAGGACAAGACTGGGCCCTAACTTGGTTTTTATCAGTCCAGAGTTTATTAGCGCACTCTTTGTTTTAAGCTGTCTAAAGAAAACTTCTTAGTTGTCTTGGTTGGTTTGAATAGCCTTTTGGTGCTTTGAACCAAGGTATTGCCTGCTCTGGGACATCTGCCCTCCCCTCACTCTCTTACTGTTTAATCAACAGAGAGCATTAAGAGTTTCTAGTTTAACTGGATGAAGGCATTTCTGTCATAGATATAGCTTTGTATTTTTGTATTTTCTTTTTAAAGAAAGTACTGTGTGTAGATGCAAGAAAATCATGCAACATGGAATATATCATTTCACTTCTCTCTTTCCTTCTGGTGGAGAGTAACAACTCTTGCATCTCGTGTTCACAAAAGTGCTTAAGTTTTTAATGAAGAAGGAAGAGCCTTTTTGGGAGAGGAAGGGGATAACCTTTGAAAATGGTATCTCCAATTTCCTATCTCGCCCAGACTAAGTTAATTATTTTGGTAATCTAAAGCTGTCCCTGTGACTCTGGAGGTGTTATTCAAGTTACTACTCAGCAGTACTTTTTAGCACAGCACTGCAACAGCCATTATTTTTCTGGGGCTTACCCATTACAGGCAGTATGTTTAGTTCATCAGTGAAGTGATTGTCTAAATATGTTGCAAATATTATCACTGTAGTAACTTTTCGGTCTCATATCTGTGCTGTGCAATGTGTTTGCCAGCGAACATGGCCAAACTATTAGGCATGTTTTTATGCTGAGAAGGGAGAATTATGCCTAAGCAAGAAAGCAACATTAAAGCATGCTTGAAATGTGGATTTTTCTGTGTGTTCCTAATTATTCTGTACATGTCTTGTGACACCTTCAAGTAATTGTGAAAAACAAATACAACCTGTTAGGAAAACACTCTCCATCTGTGTGCTGCCCTTACTCTAGGATCTGGCACTGTTAAGCTGTCTGATGTTGGAGAGGGAATTGATTGTGCTCTAATGGACTCTTTTTTTTTAAACTGAACAGGTGAGGAGTTGAGGTCAAACCCGTCTCAGTGAAGAGCTTTGAGATTGTCTGGCTTTTTGTTTGAACTCTGTCTGTTTTGTCTTTAAAGCAACATGTGAAGGAGAGCAGCAATGAAATAAATGCTTTCATGTTGTATCACGACTTGTAGAGCTGTAATTGGAGTGTGGCAGTAAGGTTTGGTAGTCTGACTTTATCCTGCAGCCATTTCTATTTATGACTTTTCTCCTGGCCTCAGTAACCCTTTTTAGAAATCCAAAGAATGTCAATTCCCCACTGAGGAGTATGGGGAAGAGGAGGAGGGGCAGGAGAAGCAACAGTTATATGTATGTGTCAATACACATGTTGATAAAACCTTGCACATTATTGCACAATAACTGTGTCACTTTTTTTCCTGAAAAAACGAGCTGCTGCTTAAAGAGTACAGTCTTGACACTTACTCTGTGTGTGTTTTGTTTGTTTTGTCCAGAACTGCTCTGATGATGGCTTGTGAAGTGGGCAGCCTTAACATGGTGGAAGCCTTCCTTAGGAAAGGTGCAGATGTCAGTTTAGTAGATATCTTTGGACAGAATGCCCTGCATTACTCCAAGCTCTCTGAGAATACAGGGATCCAGAATCTCCTATCATCAAAGTTATCTCAGGATGTGGGTATGTAAGAGATGCCGATCTACAGTTTTATCACTTCTGGAACTGGCCTATGTGTATATTTAGCAATGAACAAATTAACTTCATAAGGTAGGCTGAAAAGTTTCAAAAGCTATCTTCAAGATGTTCTGGGTGAGGCTTCCCAAAACCAGGAAAATGTGGTCTTTGCCATAGATAGTAATATTTAGCATGGGATAAAGCACTAAGCAGGGCAAAAAGAAGCAGTTTTGGAAAATAAAAGGTAAGCGGATGTAGCAGCATCATGAAATTTAGCTTACAATTTGGAATAGATCCTTTTTTATTATGTGGAGGAGTAAGTTAAACATACAGCTTCTCAGTAGAGGAGTTGGAGGAGGTACTAATGCATGCAGAAGGTTTTATGGTCAAGCGAAGATGGATTTCTAAAGTAGGAAGCCAATGTGCAAGAATGGTGTGAGATTATAGTAGGATAAGAATTGTCACAATCCTCTTTTATCTCAATATGAAACCCAAAAGGCAGCAGAGAAAGGATTCAAATGGAATTTGGAAATTAAAGTATATTTCTCAAATTTCAGACAGGAATTCAAAACCCAAAGTAGTTATGGTGTGAGAAGTAGAGCTGAGAGAGGGGTTAGGAATGACAGACAACTTTGATAGCTGTTCTTAATTCCACGTCTTTTCTGCTTCACAGATACAAAGTCAACAACAAAAGCAAAGCAGGTATTTTTCCTTTTGATTTTAAAAATACTTGGGATATATAGACTTGTAAATTAAGAAAAAAAACATAATTGATGTGACTAGAAGCACTAGTAAATGTCACTGTGAGATGGGCTGCTATTAACTACTCTGTAATCCGAAAGGGTTTTGTTGTGTATTTAAGAAATGTGTTTCAGGAACATCCCTTTTAGACTTAGCTTCTCTCTGTAACAGCAGCCACCACCCTCACTGCAAAAAGGAAAGGAGGGGTGTGTGTGTATGTGCACACGTGTGCTGGGAAGATATTCCACTTGTCTCACGTGTAATGCAGGAGCTTGGTTTTTGGCTCTCTATCTCTTTAAACTGTGGAGAAGATGATCTGGTAAAGTTCCCTGTTTCCAAAACATATAATTGGGGATAATCCCTAGTTATATCTTACTGGAGACCCCCACCTCTGATAATCCCAGCAGATTTAGGCAATTAAATTAGTTTCTTATATTTTTTTATTTAGTATGCTATCTTGGAGTGCAAATAGACCTTGTAGACCTGCTGGTGGCTGGAAAGTGGGCAATGATGCAATGCATTGGTTCATTCCTTCTCTGAGTAGAGAGGTGGGAGCTTAGGCAGAAGTTGGTGGAGAGGAAAGATGGTAGCCTTTAAGAATGGCATGACTGGACTATGTATGAATGGAAGTATTTAAGACCACTAGTGCTAAACCTATTGTTAGCTTCTGCTTTTTCACTAAACTTTTGTTTTCACTGAAGCATGGATTACAAGAGGGCAGATTCTTATTGTCAGGCATGTTTAATATCTTTATGTTAATAGAGATGTAGTCTTTACATAGAAAAAAAAAAGACACTGCATGAGCTGCTAAAGTTGATATTAATGTGGGGTTGTTTTGTTTTGTTTTGTTTTTTCAATAAAACAACTTGCTCGAACTTTACTAACCAAACTAACAAACCTACCTCTTCTGGCTGGTGAAACTTTCAGCATGACCAAGGCTCTAAATTAAGTTCAGAAAGAAGTGGAACTCCAAAAAAACGCAAAGCCCCACCTCCTCCTATCAGTCCTATTCAGGTAAAGAAAAGACCAATTTTCAGATGCTTTTAGGGGGTGAAAAGCATTTTGAACATTATGTGAATAGTGTGGGCTGGATTTATTGTGTCACTCTAATTTTTATAAGTCTGTCTTACCATGGGTGCTTTTCCTGACATTAGGATAACACCATGAAAGCACATGTTGGTTAGGTTAACTACGCAAGATTGCTTGAAATACAACATGGCCTAAGATATAACTGTATGAATTTCATTGTACAATTGCTTCTTCCACCTAAAGTTGAAGGTCCTATTTTTTTTCCCCTGACATTCATAAGTAAATAATTACATATATTTTAATAATAAATATATATGTACACATTATTATATGCATATATACATATAAAAGTAAAATATTTAAATATATAGTATCAAAATGCAGCTTAACAGTTAGGTTTAATGTTAAACTGGAATGTTACCTGTATAACAGCTACACTGCATATATAATACTGACTCAGAGCACTGAATAATTAGACCTGTTCTTTGAAACTAACCTAGAGGTGTGACTTTATGTTAGTGCAGGGAAAAGTACTCTTGAATTTCTCTGTGTGTGTACATATTTATATACAGGCACATGTTAGAGAGATAGTTATATGTAAACGTATATGTACATACCTATTTATATAAAATCTTTTACAGCTTGGTGATTTGTCTTCTCCACACTCATCAACTTCAACTCCCATGACTGGAAAAGGGCAGGCTTTCTTTGCTGATCAAGTGTGCAAGGTATCAGGGTTTTGTTCTTATGAAGCTTAGGGAAGGAAAATGTAATATCTTAATAATCTATTTTGCTTAATAATCTACTTTGCTGACTGCAGAGTCTCCTGTGAATTAATTAGCCGAGTTTTAGGAACAAAAAGCAATCCAAATCTATTTTGATGTAATTTATAAAGTAAGTGTGGATAACTTTAATGTTTACTGAATATGTAAATATAATTAGTTATAAATTAGTATTTAGGTATATGTTTATGAAAGTAAATATTAATGCTGTGAAAGTTCATTACGTATTACAAGCGAAGTGCACAGCATGGTGCAATGAAAAAAGTCAAAACTCTTTCACCAAAAGACAACAGGGAAGTGGTTGAGTGTGCTCTGTCTGATTTTTACCTTATGGTATTGAAGACTTTTTGTTTTGTTTTTTTTTTAAATACGTGACAATAAATTGCTATTATTTATCACAGGGGCTGCAGCCTTACAAACTATCTGTGAGATAGCTTCCCGTATTTCATAAATATTTGATGAAAATTGGGCAGTGGAACTTGAATGGCTTTAGCAGATTTTGAAATACTGGCCTCATGCTACAATTGAACAAGACCCCAGAAATAAAAGAAACCCACTTTGCCAGGCTTTTATCCAGCAAGATCTATACTGTCTATATTTCTCTTTAGTGAACTGTCCAACTTTACATCTGCTTTCTTTGAAAGTGTTTTCTTTTGGTGTCTCTGCAGGAAGAATTCAGCTCCTCACATCATGATAATAAAGACAGGCTGAGTGACAGCACAACAGGTATCCAGTAATACTGAATCCTTATTTTCATGTTTGGTTAGGTCTTCTAGGTGGTGTGAAATGTTGAAATCTGGTCAGAAATCCTCTGTACCTTTCCACATAGAATGTAAGCCGCAATAAGTATTGACCATAATGCTTTGTAATTTCACTAGCAGCTCCCCACCAAAACCTGCTGCTGTTGGGTGATCTAACACGTTTTTGGGGAAAGAGTTTCTAGGAAGAGTTTGCTTGCTCACTATACTTAGTGGTCATGGGAACAAACAGTTTAATTTGAGAGGTTAGAATAACTAGCTAGCATTCCCATGTTTTGAAAGCTTTTGAATCTTGTTTTGGTTTTTTTGAAAGGTGCTGATAGTTTATTGGATGTGAGTTCTGAAGCTGACCAGCAAGATCTACTTCTGTTGATGCAAGCAAAAATTGCTTCTTTGACATTGCACAATAAGGAGCTGCAGGACAAATTACAGGTGGCATATTTTTCTGCTGTTTTAGTGCTCTCTTAATCTTCTAGCAGAACAAAGAGCGGCTTTTAAAGATGTACTATGAAGATAATTTAATGAGCTTGGTGGTAAGATCATGGAAACACTCTGCCCCAAAGGATTAAATCAGTGTTTTGATCTTCTCACTTTTCCCATAAATTACTGAATAACTTGTTTATGATGATAACCACATTCTAAAAGATGTTGTTAACAGTTGTGTTAGCAGAATTTTGATTCGCATGCCTTTGATTATTAGCTTATGGAGATTCAGCCCAGACTTTCAGAAGAACTTGGCACTTCCTGCCTCTGTCACTGTAGATGACTGAATGGGAGCGGCTTTGAATTTTGGGTTTGAATAAATTTTTGAATTTTTCTAAAGCTTTTTTCTATGGTACTTTGTCTGTTTCTGTAGGATGTGGCAAGATTTCCTATTCTAAAAAATATAATCATGTACTTGTTTCTATTGTGCAATTGTTTGGCTTTCTTTTTGCACAGGAAAGAACACCTAAAGAAGTGGATTCAACTGTAGAATCTTATCATGCAACTCAAACAGAGTTTGAGCAAAGAGCAGATAGACAAAATGAGTTCTTAGCTCAGGAGCTGAAGTCTACATTAAATGCCACCCAAATTCAAGAAAAGTTGACAAACCCCAGTGAAGTAAAAATGAAGTACCTCCAGGAAGACTTAAAGGATGTGCAGAGGAAATTAGAGAATTCTGAAGTCAAAAGAAAGCAAGTAGAAGCTCAGGTCCAGTCTAGAGTCCCAGAAACAGATCATTTAAATAGCACAGACATTTCAGAAAATGGTTCTGATCTCAACCCAAAGTTCCAAGAAACTCAAAACAGTTATGAGGAAGCTGTGAAAGAGGTTTTGAATGTACAAAAGCAAATGAAGTTGGGTCTTGTTTCCTCTGAAAGTGAAGAAACCAGTTCTGATCTGAGTAGGTTGAAAGTTACATGTGGAGAAGTTGAAATGCTTAAGCAAGAATTGAAGAGAGTGCTGGAGGAAAGCGAAAGGCAAAAAGAGAAAATGAGAGAGCTACAGAAAAAGTTTGAAGAAAGAGATCAGAGTGTGGCAAGCAAATTGTCTGTAGAAGAGTGTGAGGAGATGAAGAATTCATATTGTTCAGTTATTGATAACATTAATCAAGAGAAAGCGTTGTTGATTGAGAGGTACAGAGAAGGGCAAGAGGAAATTAAAAGGCTGCAGGACAAGTTGACAAATCAGACGCAGTTGGAATCTAGTGCTGAAGCTGGAGAAATGAAAGATGCAATGCACAAAATGGTAGATGAGCTCAACAGACAACTTAGTGAATTGTCTGAGTTGTACAAAGAAGCACAAACAGAGCTTGAAGAATATAGGAAGAGAAAAACTCTTGATGATATAGCTTTGGACTACATTCCTAGAGATGAACATGAGAAACTGATGCAGGTAACAAATTCCTTGAAATACAAAGCAGAGAATGAGTTATCAGAAATGAAATCCCAATACACAAAAGTATTAGATGAAACAGAAGAACTGAAGCAACTGTTAGATGCTCAGAAACAAAACTCTTTGCCAATTACTGAACACCATCAGGTGATGAATGCACTCAGAAATACTGTAATGGAAATGGAGGAAGAAATAAATGAGCTCAAAGTACTGCTTACCAACAAGGAAAGCGAAGTAAGAAACTTACAGAAGGAATTACTGGAAGAAAAAGCTGCAATTAATGAAGCAATGGTACCTAAGGCTACATATGAAAAGCTCCAGTCATCACTAGAGGGGGAAGTTAGTGTTTTGTCATCCAAGCTGAAGGATGTAATCCAAGAGAAGGACAATGTGTCCTTAGATGTTACGCAACTGAAAAATGAAGTTTTGCGCTTAAAAGAAGAGAAAGAAGGTATGCATACTCTGCTTGAAGCAAAGCAACAGGAGGTGACTGGTCTTCAGCAAAAGTACCATCAAGTTCAAGAAGATCTTCTTGAGATGAAAAGATATTCTGAAAGCTCATCAAAACTGGAAGAGGATAAAGATAAAAAGGTTAGTGATGCACTGTAGTGGAGAGATGGTACATGAGTTCAGACTGCTAACATGTTGGATGGTGCATGGGATGATGTGTCAAGTGTCACAGAGTTGAGTAACTTTTGAGTGCATTTGTCCATCTAAAAATTCAGATATCAAGCAAGTTTTCAGTATGTTTAACTTCACAGTTGGTTTCCCTCCCCTGCAGAGATACGCATGATCTTTTAATTTACCTCTTTTAAGTTCTGTTTAGGTTGGGTTCACACTATTTGGGCAACTGAATTCAAAGAAGTGGGATTTAAAGCAGGAAGAGATTCCAGAGGAGACAAGAAAACAAAGATCAGAAATGACCAAAATTCACTATTCTGATTTTACTATATTATCTCAACCTTAGCATGACTTGACTGTTTTTCCTCTGCATTTACCATATCTGCCACTACAACTTCCTTTATAAAAAGCTGTGTATTTTGCTAGCTCTGAATAGCTGGCCTGTGTTTGATATGTTTCTGCCTTGTGTTCAGCAGCGGTGTTTGTAAAGGTGGTAACTGAAATCCCTGTTTGCAAATATTGCTGGCTTTCAGAACAAGGAGTGCATTTTGAATTGTCTGGGCTAGGAAAGGGATAGAGAAGCATTGTAACCCTTTGCTTACATGTCTCTGTTTGTCCGTTGAGTTTGTTTACATCTTGGTTTTCCTCACTTCCTAAATTTAAGTTACAAATAAAAATAACCCCAAGGTGAGAGCCACAAGAATACAGTATGCCTTGCAGCTTTTCATGAAAGCCTCTTTTTTGTCTCCCTAGATCAATGAAATGACCAAGGAAGTTAGTAAATTAAAAGAAGCATTGAACAGCCTTTCTCAGCTTTCTTACTCGACCAGTGCTCCCAAAAGACAAAGCCAGCAGCTGGAAGCATTACAACAGCAAGTGAAGCAGTTGCAAAACCAACTGACTGTAAGTGTGATATTTGTAAACCCACCATTATTCCCAGCTGTCTGAAGATGCGCATGTCATTCTTCACTCTGCCTTATTTAAAATGGTGCACAGTAATGAGTACTAGGAAAGGAATTTTCATCCAGAAATTCTAGAATTTCTCTGTTTCTCTGAAACATTTAGGAATCTGCAAGTCACAAATTGCTCTTTAGAAATAGTCTAACTGAAAAAAGCTGTTTCCCCCCATATATTTTCTCATATCAACAGTGGAGCAAAGTTTCTGTATTTGTAGTGAAATGTAGTGGCCAGCCCTGCTGATGAGACCCTCATTTGTGGAAAATGTGGCCAGTGTGCAGTGCATTTGTGTGTTTTCTCAAGAACACTCATCAGCTGAAGTTGTCTTGTTTTGGTTGTTTGGGTTTTTTTTTTAAGCTAAAATAAATTCAACTTTCTGGAACAAAGTAGTCACTAAAGGCATGAAGTTTCAAATTGAGTAAATCCATCTGTTTACAGGGAGCACAGTTTATTCTCTGAAATTCTGAACTGCTTAAAGTTGTTATTTTTAAAATTCTTTTGTGTATGAAAGGTTCAGTCTTGTAAGCTTGGTTGACTCATAATTGCTATTTCTAAGAGCTAGCCTGTCCCAAGGAGCACTTTAATTCACTACTGATGGTGAAAAGAAGGTACTTCCCCACAAGCCTTTGTTGAGAGCTCTGGAGTAACCGAAAGGAGAATTCCCAGCCTGGCATGCGAAATGGCTTACCTGTTGTCTGCTTTCCTGCCTTGCCTAGTAGACAAAAGAAGGGTCAATATGCTTATGGGCCAAAAAAATGACCCTGCAGTGGGGATAAATAAGTAGGCAGACAGTTAAATGCTGCATCCTGCCAGGGTAAAGGCCCAGACTGTTTCTTATCCCAGTCCATCATGTCTGAAAGGACTCTTCACCTCCCACTTTAAGGACCAGTAAAGCACTGTCAGGTGCAACGATACGCAACGCATGAGGAAAGCGGGTACGATTTAAAACAGGACAGAAGCATTCTTTCCTTTTTGTAGGCTAGCTTTCCTAACAGCTTCATGTTTATTTGCAGAGATGGCTTCTGCGATGTGGTATCTGATCATGAAGGAGGTTGGCTTTCCTTGTTTGAAGTACAGTAATTAACTAAAGATTTCATGGGTTAAGACCTTTTTTTCCCTGGGAAGGCATTAGCTGAATATTGTTGGCTTTCCTCAATTCTGATTGCTGCTAAACTCGAGAGTATGTGCTCATTCCGCATCTTTGCAGCTCAGTGATGTAACCTCACCAGCTGTTTTGCTGGGATGGGTAGAATTATCCAGATCATGTTTTGAATGGCTAGTGGCACAGTACTGTCTGAGCTGGCTTCCATGCATGCCTAAGACTATGGTTTGTAATTACCCAGAGCTCTCTAAATCTAGTTGGGGAGTTCTGAATTCAACAGTTCTGAATGCTCTGTGACTTTCTGCTTAACTATTTTCTAGGAGACAAAGAAACAACATCAGGAAGTTGTCTCAGTCTACAGGATGCATCTTCTCTATGCTGTGCAGGTATGGTTGCATATTGTCAGTTACACAGTGTTGGTATTTTAATGAAAGATGTTTCTTCTGCAAATTTAGCAAGAACTTTGCATGTTTTCTCAGACATCTTACTGAAAAAGTATGACTGTTTAAGCTCAAATTTAACACTGCTTCCTTTTAGGAAATTGATTTAATTACTGTATCTCAAAAATAGTTTGTAAATCTTCTTAAAGAGTAGAGAGAGGCTGGAATTCAATCATCTTTTCTTCTTTTTCCCTTTGTTTAGGGTCAAATGGATGAAGATGTCCAGAAAGTGCTTAAACAAATTTTATCTATGTGTAAAAGCCAATCACAGAAGAAGTAAACAAAAAAGCCAAGGAAAACTCCCCATTTTTATTAATCCTGTTATGGGTGTTTATCTAGATTTGCCTTAACATAAGATTTAAATTGGCAATTTGCTGCTTTTGTGTTATTGTGCTGTTCGTGAGGTGGATTTGTTTGTCTGTCTCTATCACTTACCATGTGTATTTGCGTGTGCAGTAACTAAACACATGCCTGCTTTTCATATCCAAAATGCAAGTATGTTCTTCAGACTTTTACCTAGGCCACTCCATGTCATGTTTACCCTGAAAATACTTTCTAGCTTCCTCCAATATTTGGGGATTAATCTAGAGGAAAGCAGTTGTGTTGCCTGGGTAAAGATGAAATTCTCCATAAAGTCTTCTGTACTGTTTATAAGCTGCAACTTGTTACTGGGGATTAATTTAGTTGCTTGATGTTGTAGCACTTGGATTCCTGACATTTTGCCATATACAGTCTTCGGCAGAGCAGAAGTAAGCCTTGCAGAAGTGAGCAGAAATAGATACTTATGCTAAACCAGAACATCAAACAGCTACACTTCTTAGTGTAATACTATTTAAGATTAACACGCCATGAGGTAGCTGTCCCAACCCATCCAATGCACTGAGTACACAAAACTCATACCATGCTTCACAGTTTCCTTTCATAACTGCCTGGTAGTGGAATAAAACTATTTCAAAAGGTAAAGTCATTAGTTTATTGAAGTTCTGTACAAAGCAGTACAGAAACATAAACAACCCTTTATGATAGGTTTAGCTATCTATGCAAGTGTTGGCCATGAAGCTCAGGAACAAAACCAGAACATATACTTTAGACAAGGGATTCTAGTGAACACAGGATGTTTACAGTGAATGTCAATGCCTCATATTTCCTAACCTCACTTTTGTAAAGATCTTCTCTTCAGTATATTTTTATTGGCCCTCTAATGAATTTTTTTGTAACTAAACCATTTTTTCTACATAATGTTTGCATTAAGCTTATTAATAAATATTTTTAGGTAACTGTGTTTTAGAGAGTTTCTTTTTATACCCCCAGGTATTCAGTAATAGTGAAGCATAGTGAAGTGTTTTCAGTTTGTAAGAGATCTGTATGGAATAATAAACCTGTCTGTCAGTGTGGTCCAGAGCAGTGAAGTGTAAAAATGCAGTTCAGCCTGCTGTTCCAAAAAATGTAGAAATGATAGGTAGAGAACAGCAGAAGCTGTCAGAAATTTCTGCATGTTGTTTCTAGAGGCTAGGGGCATCAGTAAAGCCTTTATCAGCACTTTTAAATTTGAAGTCAAGTAAAAATGCTTGATGTGGCATAGTATGAACTATGGAAAAGTGTTTCTACGCACACACTGCACTTGAGCATACAACCATTCTAACTAGCTTGCAGCTTCACTATGATGGTTTTTTTTTTTTTTTTCAATTCCTGTTAGTGGATGTGTCTCTAATAGAGAAATCTTCCAGAGCTATATAATCTATGAAGTTTATGTAGAGTCATAATATGACAAGAGTCAGCAGTGCCTCAGACTGACTGGACTCATAGTGCACTTATATCACATAATTCCTAACCCTGGCAAAACTAAAATGGATTTTAAAAGCGAAAAGAAAAATCACACCTTTGCATCAGTTAGACCTTGGTGTTTCTCTTCTTGGGTGGTTTAACTAATGCCTGCTTATTTTGAACAGTATTTTTTAGTTAAATGGTTTTGAAAATGCTCCAAAGAAATGTGAAAAGAATTTTGCTGCAGCACTTCAGAGAGAACAACGAGATTTTAAGCATGCTATTGCCACAAAGTGTAAAACTTGATGAACCATTTTGTAGGTTGCCTGATGGTTTTAGTCTTCTACTTTGTTTGGGTTTATATATTTATTACAGCTATCTTTGGGGATTATTGAAAATTACATACCACAGCATAGCAAGTTTCTTTATATGTAATTTACAAGAAGTTTCCTTATGCAGCAAATAAACTATTTCCAATTTTTGCATCTTTGTTCTTTTTGTGTCTTCATTTACATTTTGTACTGAGGGAAATCTCCCTACACTGTTTTAACTTAGTGCAAATATGTTCTATATGTCTTGTTTAGATAGCTGTCAAATGTACTGAGCTGTCAAATGTCCCTGAAATTGCAACTTGATTATTAAATTCCTTGAGCTGTCAGGTAGAATAGAATCCACTCCGAACCCTGTGCAACCAGTTCTAGAGATTATGCCTTTTACCTGATAGATAAATTCAGAACCATTTCTCACGTGGATGACCTGCTAGAGGTAATGCAGATTTCCTATTTGTCACTGGATGCATTCCAACTAAGTTTAAAACTACCTTAGAGCAGTAGCACAGATTGGTGAGGTCCCACAGTTTTTCAAAACTGTGGTTCTCTATCACTTAGCACTTCACGCACAGAACGTATATATATGTGTATATGCATATGGATACATATACTTTTTAAATTTAGCAATAGTTACACAGTCAGCCCCATTGCCTTTTATCATCTCTTCTACTCCGAGTTTCATTTGTGAAACTAATTTTTCAGTAACTTGTTTGATAACACTATCTTCCTATCTAAGGGTGAAACACACAAACAGCAGGAATTGCACCTCTTTTAATAACAACCTGTGGGGTCAAGTAGCTCTAGCCTCTTGAGAAAATTTCTGTAAGCTGCTCAGTACTGGGTTTCCTTTGAAAAAGGCTGCTGACAGACTGGTATGCAGAATCTGTTCATGGTGAGATCAGCTGGCAGGGAAGATCACATCTGCTTTGATGGCTTTTGCAATGGGCCTGCTGCCAAGTATCTCTCATCTGAATTGCCATTTGTTTTCCTTGTGGATGGCCAGGTTCCAGCTCTTGCATAACAGGGTTGGGTTTTTTTAGGGGCAGACCTGTGGCAGTTCTGCATTTTGCCTTTGAAGTTAGTTGCTGGTACATGCTTCCCAAGCATCACTAGTCTGGTTATTTATTTCTGGTCTCCTGCATGGGCAGTCATGACAGCGTGGGTCTTCTCCTGGGCAGCGTTTTTATAGCTGATTTCTTCCCCTTCCCCACTAAGCATATGAGTACTGGGGTTGAACAATGCTCCTATCAAATTCACAGACTGCAGTTCGCACACAACAGGTAGTTTGGTCAGACTGCTCAGCTTGAGCACACTGGCTCTTCTCACCCATCCCATGCCCTGTCGCGGGAGACAGGAGAGGCAGATGGTGGTAGCAGACTTCAGAGGACTGAGAGTGGGTTGAAATTTGGGAGATGTCTGTTCAGGTCTGCATTAAGATCACTTCTTTTGTGTTCTTTTTCTCTCTTGGTGGAGAAAGGCAGTGCAAGTCCCTGTAAGCAGGTGTTGCCCTCATTATTTGTCATCTGGCTGCCACAGGCTTCCTCTTTTGTCAACCTAGATGGGCATGAGAAGATGATGGAGAGTGAAGCGATTCTGCCCATTTCATCATCAATCAGGCAAGAGCTTCTTGGAGTGTGCCATGTGTCCTTGACGGACAGATCTTTTGGGTCCAGGAACATGTAGAGGCACAGTCAATACTTGAACTCAAGCGTGGTTGACCCTCTTAGATGAGTCTGACTACCTGGGCATGCTCCACACGAGCAGGACAGCAGCACTCTTGTTCCTTTCCTCACTAAAGTCTGTGCATGCTCCCACTGGTTCTTGGTCCCCGTGTACCTGGTTTTATGTTTGGGTTTTTTTCTGCACAGTCCTACTGCTGGAGAATGGAGAGCATCAGTAACTGTCATTCCACTGAGGGTGGCTTTTCAGAGGAACAGGAGATTGAGAGTAAAATAAACAGTTGCCAGATGGTTTATTCAGGTACCTCATGGGTAGAGAGATGCGGTAAGAAGCTGTTATCTGCCCATGCTGGCTGAGGTGGGGGCTCAGTGATGGCAGAAAGGCCTGCTGGTTTCCCTTCCACCACTCCTCAGGTCAGCTAGGTGACGATGTGCTACGTGTCAACACAAGACAGCAAAAGCCAAGGGAAGGCCATGCTGCTGTGTGCTGCAGTAAACCGCAGCACAGTAGTGCCCTAGGAGAAGCAACCAAGGAAGGGCCAGTGGAAAAGCTGGCTGGAAATCTCCTGGCAGATGCTACATCTCTGTAGAGCTGCGGATTAGTTTTGAAGCCCACTTCATGTTATGTGAGTTTTCCCAAGTGCTGGCTGCCTGCCTGCCTGGCTGGGGGAAGGAGGTAGGTGGTTTGTGACTTCAGTGCTCTGAATGTTTCAGAGCTAAATAAATTACTGTTGCTATATGTATGTTGTGTTTATGGTATAAAAGCTGCTCTCTGGGGTGCTTTGGCAGTGTGGGGTACCAGCCTACAGTGTGCAGGAGGGTAAGAGGCTGAGGCCCATGTGGGTCACTGGAGAAGAGCTGCCTCAGGGCGGTGGAGCAGAGGGGTCCATGTGAGCCTCTGCCCATTGACCTGCCCCCAGGGAGGTGCTGGCTTGGGTCGGGCCAACCCAAAGCGTCCTGAGGCTTTCTCCATGCTGATGCCAGCTTTTATCTGAGCACAAAGCAGATGCAAAAGGCTGAAGGAATCTTCCCTTAACATGGCAGAGACCCATGTGCTGCAGGGGAGAATCTCTGGCTCAAGGAGTGTGGTCGGGCCTCCCAGTGTGGGACAGGTCAGGGAGCAGAGGCAGCCTCTTGGGGCTTCGGCTGTGGGGCCAGCGCCTCAGCCTGCCGCTGCGAGAGGTTTCGGGATCCAGGCTGCGCAGGAGCTGCACAGTGGGTCACAGAGCTCCATGTTGAATGAACACTTGGAAATGCTCCTGGAGGAGTTAGGTGTTGAGGTTTCAGGGCAGCAGTATAGACAGAAGTGGTGTAACCCACTGCATATTCTGCACGCACAAGCAAAACAAATAGGAATTCTTTTAGGACAGATCAGTGGTTTAAATCCTCTATTCGCTGTGGTTTTGGTCTGCCACAGTGAGCACTAAAAGTGCTCTGAATTTAATGTCAAGCCACAGTTCAAGAGTTTGTCTGAGTACCTTGAAACCTTCATCTATAGCTCTGTAGCAATACTGTCTAGTTCAGCAAATGTAGGTCACTGGGGGTGCTCGTGGGTGCAAGCCAACTCTCGCAAAATGTTTCACGGAAGTGAAGTTTCCAAATGCTTTTCTTCATCCCTGCCGCCTCCTCCTCTATTTGGGTCCTTCACAGATCCTTTTGAAAATAAGTAATGGAGATACTAAGTACAGACTAGAACCATACATTATTTTGGTTTTATGTCTGTGTTCTTCTCAGGGAAGTAACAAATTAATTCTCCTCATGTTAACAGTCATTTTTATAAACTCTCTTAGAATTACATACAGTAGTGAACTGCAGATGAAGTGAATTAAAATCTGTGATTTAATAAGTTTCTACTTTTTTGAGGAAGCCTGATACAATTTTTGTGGCTACACAATAGTCCTATCAACAAACTCTGCTGCTGGCAAGAAAGCTGTGTGCTTTGCTCAGCACTTACAAGTGTTGGGCTTCCTCAGGCATAGATAGCATGTGACAAAATGGCTTCTAGGAGAAATGATGGCCTCTGTCTTGTCGGACCCAGTTACAGCATCCTGGAGTGGGGTGTCACCAACATAAAGATTCTCCTGACGGTGGGTTTTGACCCTTTGCACAAGCAGTAGAGGGTCTGTGCTTTTAGTCCTGCAGAGGTCAGTCCCACTGGTGGCTTCAGGAAGGTTTGTTTTGTGATACAACTTGTAGCTCCTGATGCTCTTTAGGGCAATGCATCTACTGCTGTTTACAAACCTTTGGCTTCCCTGACAGACTCTTATTTGATGAGTTTAACACAGGTATTTGCACAATCATCCATTTTTCAGTCTATTATTTTAAAAGCCTGCTTACATGCTGATCTGTCCAGATTCAGTGTTGGCACTCCTCGTACATTTTCCAACAGCCTGAAATGCTCAGACGGTTGGTAATGGGGCCTCCTACCAGCAGCTGGAGATTGGAAACAGGCGCATCTCGGTGACATCATCCCCTGCAAGGAGCTCGGGGCTGAAGCCCATCTCCCTGCAACCTGGCGGGCAGCCATCTGGTCCTGCCTGCCCAGCCAGGCCCTGCGCACTCATGGTGTGCTGTTAACCCTGCCTAGGAGTGATGCTGCAGCTGACACCCTGTGTTGGTGGCTCTCAGGAGGCAAGCAGCACCTGCATCAAAACACAAATGTGCTTATATGGAAAGCTGTTGTTCTGGTGTGGTTGGTCACTGTTCAGGATTAGCTAAAATGCTCCCCGGTGATGGGTGGGCTTGGACCTACAGCACTCTTCCTGCATCCCTTGTCCTAAAGCAGCAAACAGTCCTGCACCCTGCTACGTGCTTGGAAGCCCTGTCCACAAATGTTTGGATGCATTTGTTTCTCTGTAAGCACTTTGAGGCCCACCACGAGGCATCCCCAAAGAAGAGACTGGGGAGCAAGAGAGGAGCTGGATTAAGCTGCATTTTCCAGACAAAAAAAAAAAAAAAAAGGAGGTACAGAGAGCTAAACCGGCATTCCTTCCCCTCTAACCCTCCCTTGCACCTGGAAAAGATTACAGTAATTGAAGACACAAAGCACAAAGATCTGCACTGACCTACTCATAGAAATATCTCCTCTGGGCTCTTGCTGTTCAAAGTGCAGCTCCCAAAAAAGCAATGCTGCATTCAGCAGCTGGTGAGGCCACAGCTGGGTGTAAACACAGCTGGCCAGATGTTGCAGGCCTGGGTGCAGACATGCCCATGCAGATGTTGCAGAGCTGGGTGCCTGCTGGGAGGTCACAGTGGGTGGGTAGTGGGGTCTCTGTGCCCATGGGGAGGGCAGCTTGCTCTTCCTGCCTTGTCCCCAGCAGCACGTGCGGAGGATTTGGGAGCAGGCGGTGTGAGCAGGACTTACCTCAAAGCCCTGTGCTGCCTGAGGGCAGCCGCGTGGTACTCACAACGTTTCTAAAATTCCTGCCCTTGCTGCTATGTGAAGAAACCATGTCACCGTGCAATGACTGGCAAGCAGTAGGCTGGCAAAGCTTCCTCCACAGATGCTTTGGCTGATGGGTCTCTGGCAGTATGCCCCCTTGCAAATATCTGCCTAACCAAAGCTATGCGTGGTTGCCCAGTCAGGGTTGTAGCACCGAAGAGCAGGGCATGAAACTACACCACCTGCCTTGGAGCAGCTCTGTGCAGCATGCACCTCTCCGGGAGCATTTCCAGAACCCTTGGTCACTTCCACAGTGTGGTGGTTTGAGGGGACCCACTTCCCCATGCTGCAAGCAGGTAACAGCCTGGGTTTACCCCAGCTCCTCTGGGACCTGTCTCATGCCTCTCTTTAGTTTATTAGGAGAGACAATGTCTCCCACCAGCTGATGGCAACTTTTAAGAGAGACACAGCTCTCTGTGTTGAAGTAAACATCGTATTGTAGAACTACTGGGAGAAGAAACATGTTCTTAGTGATTCATCAGGCTACACCTATAAAAGTGGCTGTGAATATTCTCGGATGCTGGAATGAGCCCACCCCTATCGTTACACTGCTTGGGATGGGCCCTGCCATGCTGTTGTCTCAGGCCAACCAGCAGTTTTTGCAAATAACTGCCCAGCACTGCTCTGGATCAGCCCATTCCTTTGTGCAGGTGGACCCGCACCTTGCAAGGCGAAGTTTCCCCAGTGCAGGCCCTGGCTGAGCAGCGCCCCAGCCCCACTGAACCCAGGAGCATCTCATGCAGTGGCTGTGTGAGCAGGTGTAGTCTGGGAGGCAGCCCCAAGGCCCTCAGCCACACTGCTGGGGTTCATGGGAGCAGCTTTGCACCTGAATGCTTGCTCCTCTGATTGCTGAGCTGTGTATGAAATCTTAAAGAGGCATCTGTCTTTTCGGACAGCTGTCTGGTTTTCAAGCAGAGGCACTGCAGTTTGGTGTTGCTGCAAAACCCCTGCAGCTACCGCCTGACTGGGTAGAGTTGCTCCATGCCTCCCTTAGCCCTGCAAATCCATCGCTGCACTCTACTAGCACTTATGGTGTAAAATCCACACATATCTACAGATAGATTTCTTATCTAATTAGATAAATACAGGAAATAATTATTGAGCACCCAGCTTTCTGCTAGCTTGCTCTTTGTCAACTCCATGGTCCCATCTGAGCTCAAGGGTAGGAGACTGTTAACTTCTCCATGGAGAGCTTTCATCATCCCTTCCCTCAGCCTCATGCCAGACGACTAGAAAAACCAACATCCCCTCCAGGCTCATCTGCAAGAGCCAGCCACCAAAGCAGCAAGTTCAATGTTGGTTTTGATCAGTGGCTCACTGGGGTTTTGATCTGCAGAATAAATGATTGGGCTCAGGGAGTTTCCAAACTGCTGTCCCAAACTCACCAAGTGCTGATGCATGCTGTTGGTCTGACGGGAGTGACATTCCCACCATCTCTCTGCCCTCACTGGGGGCAAAAGAGCTTTTCCTGGACATCCTGGATTTCTTTGTTGTGCAGTTCAGATCTTTCTAGACTTGCTTTGGGTGTATTTCTCCATGGAGGGCCAGGATACTTGCACAGAATGACATTCACATTTATGGTGGATATTCAAAACCACTTCAGAGAGTCTAGTGACTCCACAAAGAGATTAGAGCTGTGTGGGTGCGTGATTGCGTTTCCCTGCAACACTCCCTCATTTGCAGAGCCCTTACAATTAGATTTAGTAGTGCTAATGCAGTGTTAGTTGTTTGAGCCTGGCTAAGGAGAGCAGCAGGGTAGAAAAAGGCTGAAGCAGCCTGTTGTGGCCTCAAGCTGCCATTTATACCTAAGCAGTCCTGCTGCCACCTCAGATTCATATAAAAATGAGTTTCTGCCTCATCAGGAAGGCATCAAGCCTCTACTCTATAATAGCTCCATTTTAAAAATAATTCTGTATTTGTTCAGTTTAATGTTCGTGTTCTCTCAGCAAAAGCACTGTTTAGTGTTACTATAATTATTTATACAATTTCTGCTTATGTTTTTGGTAAGACCCACCTGCTTGATTCTTAGGGGTTTACAAGCTGCTACAAAATGAAGTTCAAAACAGATACCTACAGGAAACGGCATGTGGCCTATTTCAAATTTTCCAATTATTTTTGACCTCACTAAAGAACTATCTAGCCAAGAATACAAGAATGTATTTTATTGTAAATCTGTATATAATTAAACAACTCATTCTTTCCCTTACTAACTTTGAAACAGGTATAGAACTCAATTCCTTTTGGAGAACTTTGGGCTCAACAGTCTTTACAGATCCAAATGGTTGTGGATGGGCCTCAATATGTGAAAGCCAAAGCAACACAAGACCTTCTCAGTGTGTTGGGAGGTAAGAGATAACATTAGCATTGGCATTGTTAGTGTTCTGTTACATAAAGATTGTCAGGACCAGAAGCCAAAGTCATTATTTTGGCTTCCAGTATCTTAGCAGACCAATGGGACCCAAGGCCCACTGCGGTAGTAGAATAAAAAGAGGTGCCTTCTCGAAGACTTGAGGTCAGTTCTTACTCTGAAAAGCACAAATCAAAATAATTGGAGGAAAAGTCACTTGTCGGTTTTGTGGCCTCTGGATCTGAGTTGCCCAGAGTCCCAAAGGCAGTAAATCAGAACAGCCTGGCAGCACCTACTACAGCTATATTGAACCCAGGTGGAAAATGCTGGTTCCAGTTCCACCCTGCAAGAACTGTTTTTCGTTTACATCATAAGTAATACTGAATACTTGCATGTATCATTTTATAAGAAAGCAAGTGGGCAAAATCTAAGTAATTCTGTGATACTACTAAAGGGAAAAAATTAAAATAAATGTTTCTTCTATGTCAGGTTTCCCATGGTCTGCAAGGGAAAAAGACTTGTCAAGTAGAAGAGATAAAACGTACTAAAGGTACCGTCCCCCAGGTTTTGGATCTCATGCAAAGTGTGGTAGGAAGTTAAATCTGATCCCACAGTGAAGGTTTGCAGAACTTATGCAATTTACCAGGTCAAAAAGACACAGAGCGACTTTGCAGTCATTATTCTCTTCACCTTTTTTATTTTACTGTGTTTGAAGGTAGAAATGTAATATAATCCATGACAGATAGATCCTAAACTTAACCTTACGGCAAGAAGTCTGTAGCCTAGACTTTCCATGATTTTGTCCACCTAGAACCATATCCACAAAGTCACAAGGTGCACAAGCACCTCCCCACCTTTGTGAGTCTAGGTCCTGACTTAGTCCAGTTGGGGTACAGATGTTAAGTCTTGCACAAATCATGCATGTCTGTAATAGCTATTATTTATGAAACGCAACAGTTGCTTTCTGGTATTTTGTGGTGTTCTAACTTCTTAGGATATTATTTCCATGATCCCTGTTGGTGGATTATAGAAGAAATTGTTCAAAGTACTATTTTAAGAAGTAATATAGTACATCTGTAGGCAATTATACAGAAGTACAAATGTTAAGCCACAGTAATGTCCATGAACACAGTACAAGGAGGTTTGATACTCTGAAATAAATCACATTAAGTGATATGTTCTGTTTCATTCATGTAAATACTTTGTAACACTCACTAGTCAGAAATAATATTAATAATTCCCAATGAGACTATTTATTTTTCACTGAAGAAACTGAGGTAGTAAGCCAAAAGAAAATTCACCTGGACTGAATACTTAAGTTTGAAAAAGAGAAAAGATGGTAAATAAGAGTAATTTAGAATATTATTAGGTAACTTTATCAGTCTTGTAGTTCAAAGATTTGTCATTAATTTTCAAATGTAAAATTTATTGCAATAAATGGAGGATCTGCAGGGTAGACAACAAAAGTGAACTGTTGACACTGTACCCTGAAAGTATACTCTTGCTGACACAAGCAAGAGGTGAAAAATGGTCAACAAAAGCATTTTAAACTTAAAATAAACCCAAAGGACTTGGATTCTGTTGAACTGTGAAGCAATCAACTTGGTAACATACGAACATCCTGTCTTCCACACGTGCGCAGCAGGACCTCATCTTCTGACAAACAACAAAACTCGACTACAGCCTAGAGCTGTACAACCCACCCGCAGATCACTGACTCTGGGATCGCACCCCACAGCAGCCAGGCAGGAAGACTTCAGTCTCTTGCAGTGTGATCCTCAGTCTCTGCATCTGGATCAATGCCCAGCTCATTCAGTGAATCTCCTGTTCTCAGCAGGTTGTTATCAGAGGAGAGGTGTGAAAGCATAAGTGCAACTTTTGACCTAAATACAACTCACCTATTTTGCAAAGCTGTCCACTAGAAAACTCTCCAGAAACTGCACTCCCTTTTCAGTGAGTAAGAAGTTATGCCCATTTTTGTGAGTGATAGGAATACACTACCCCACAGGACACAGGCAGACATTCCTTTACTTCAGTTTAGGAGTCCCTCCTGTTGCTGAAAAAGGCTATTGAGATGGTAAATGAATTTCACAAATAACTTCAAATACAAAACTTTTCTCTCTTCTTATGATTCTTAATGGCAATAGTAGAGTAGCAGGGTAGGAATGGGGACATGTACATACAGAAACATTTCAGCAACAGCATTCTTGTGGCTGTGCAATAAATTACTAGATACAAAACAATAATGTTGCCAGAATAGTTATGAGTAATGAATAAGTGAATCCTGGCTTCTACCTTAATTCAACAATTCAACACTAGTACTGCAGACAAAAGGGTAAATTGGTATCAGATGAAATTCCAAGGAATTAAGGTATATTAAGAATTAATCAAGATGAGGAAGAACCTAGTTGCTTCACCAGCAAAATATGTCAACATTTGCCAGAAAAAAAAACCACCTGCTGCTACTAAGAAATAATTTTGAAAATGTCATCCTCTTTCACTACAAATTTGGTTTTACTTTTAAGTCACTGAAAGTTAACTGGCTAGCATACAGCTGTTCAGATTTTCTCTTGTGTAATTGCTTAGATAAGCCAAAGGAAAAAAAAAACCCAAAACACAAACAAAAATTACTGGAAAACATTTTAAAAAGCAGCAACGTATTACATGAACACCACTTTAACATCTGTGCTGGAATCAGTGGCTACAGGAGATCAACTCCCCTTCTTGCTTTTTTAGCTTTTTATTTTTTCAGTCAAGGCTAAGAAATGTTTGCAAGGGAATAAAAAGGCAGTCTTTTTCCAGAGTTAACAAAAATGACAGTACCAATTCTATCAATCTTTACAGCTTTCATTCAGTTTTATAAAAAAATATAGTATTATATATATATCCATAAATACAATACAGATGCCTTAACATACACCTACATTTCTGCTTCAGTAATATCCTCATCCGGGCAACAATAGTATTCCACAAAACAGATCTGTCCATCTTCATTCCTAATCATATACTGCAGTGATAGAAATCCTTGAGCATCTGTTCGAATGGACACTTTACAAGATAAAGCCAGAGCCTTTGTAGATGGTTTAAGCAAAGAAATCTTGTACCTGCAGAGGAAAAAAAAGTAATCTGAAAATAATATATTGTGCAGAGAGGAGCTGAAATATTACTCCCAATTAAAGCCACAGAATAACTAAAAAGCAATTAACAACATGCTCATTTTATCTTTTCCTGGTAACACCAGACAGACATTGTTATCCCTTAGCTTTTGATGACAGGCACAGCCTTTTATCAGATGGGAAGTATTTTTTTTCCCCTATACTTGTGAAATAAATGTCATAGTAATGCAAAAACAGTTTTTTAAACTTTTCAGCAAGAATGCATGACCTGCCACACAGGGCACTGATCACAGACTTCCTAACCTGTTTGTCTGGGTCTGGTTACAGTGGAATGTTTCCATCAAATCAGAGTCCCTAGGGTAGTCCAGATGTGCACTTCCTGCATTTCCAAAAGTGGATAACCTGCAAGACAAAAGGCACCATCTAAAAATACCTGATCACAGTTCTCTAAAAACTCATCAGAATCAGTCATCTTTCGTATCTCAATGGCTGTTTCACAAAACACTGTTGTTTGTTGGCTTTATTTAATTAAAAATGATAAACTGTCTGCATCGGTGTAATATTTACCAGGTTGTTAATACATTCACTACTATGTTAACTAATTACATACTGGGATTTGCAATACTCATTACAATTCTTCTTGAAATAAAGCAATATTCTAAAATGGCTCCCCCATCTTCACCCCAAAAGCTTCCAGACCTTACCAACATTTGAGCCAAAAGCATAGTTTTCAATACCTGAAGTAAGGTTTATCTGGAGACATGGTAATCTGCAGAACTTCACTGGTCATATCCAGTTCAGCAAATGCTTCTCGTAGCCCCTCCGACTGCAGGATAATTTTGTTAACAACCTTTGTACTGCAGAAATCAAAGTCTAACAACTGATCAGGTTCTTGAGTGTTAATTTTACACACTGTCACTACTCCTCCTTCTTCCAAGAAGAGCATCAAGGGATAACCATAACCACGATAACACATCCTAAGGGCTGTTGATGTTCCTGTAAAAAAAGAGAATGAAATATACATTCTTCAGAGAGCTAGCTAGCACATCTGATCACTTTAGAGAATTCATATTTTACTGGCATATGGGGCACAGATCAATTTGATTTAGCACGTTTGGTCCAGACCCCAATACTAATGTAGCCTCCAAGACACTTTATGAAGTGCTAATAGCTATGCAGCAAAATGAAACGATCTCTATGTAGACACCAGTTCAATTCCAACTCACGTCATGTACCCAATGGGTAACACTAGCCGAGACAATGAAGCTGGATATACTACAAATAGTTTAGTGGACTTGGAAAATCCTCAGCAATCCCAAGACTCTCTCTCTGGTGCACATCACCTTTCTTTACTAGTCTTGTTACTTGTGCAACCCAAACTGAAGTTAACATAGTTTAGCTTGCATTACAGTCACATCCTCCTTTTACTAGGTAATCATAATTTGAATGTTTATTTTCCCAAAATCAGAGTGCTGTTTAGTACAGTTGATTTAGGTCTTTAGGTCAGAGTCACAACAGAAACAGCAGAGGAATGTGAAGTTCCAATACAGAGCTGCAATGGCAGAACTGCCCCAAAAAACTGTCATGGCATCACTCTACTCCATGTGAGTACACAGTGCATCTTTAGCACCCAGACAGTCATGCTACCTTGTAGTTATTTTTGCCTGTGAAAATATTTTTTGAATAACTGTCAAGTTAAAAAAAATATTAATTTATAGGAAATAAAATTTGCTAAGACCTGGGGTTTTTTGTTTAAACAGATGGGTTCATGTAATTCAATATTTGTATACATAATTGTGAAGGCATGCACCTCTGTCACTGAAAACATTATAAACAGGATAATTAATACAGTCTACTTGATTTTTTGTAATTCACAGACTTGATAAGCAAGGTCTAAACTGCTCTGACAGCACCAGAAGAGCTACCCAATCCAGCCACAGATTTCCTGTGAGATCTTAGGTTAAGTATCATTCCTCCAGTACCTTATCCGCAAGCTGGAGATAATACTCACAAAAGAGATGCAGGTGTAGTTTGCAGAAGGGAAGGAACTGAAGGTGCCACGTAACAGCTACTGCACTGGGACCAGGAGCACAGTGAACTGATGGTGCTACCTGGAGCCCCTGCAGAATTCTTCAAGCCCAGTAAATCTGCACCAGAACACTTCCTAATTCGTGCATACGCCTGTTAATGTTTCTGAGGTAGCTGCATGTTCCAGGGTTGCACAAGCCACAGAAATATTGGAGAGATCACATTTATTATTGAGTTAATACAAAATCTTTTGTTAGCAAGACAAATTCAAAATTATGTCTATACTGTGTCTCAGTGTACTGATTTCTGTCACGGTTCACAGCAATGAGTTATCCTGAGTCCCTTGTAAGTCCAATGTGGATCTCTCGTGGCCTTAAGATGTACTGACAGCTTTCGTGCTTTTTCAGCTCAAACTGACAGGTCTGGTAAGAGGCTGCCCCAGCCTGTCCAAGCAGTTGTCTTTTAGCCCGATGCTGAGGGTATGTGCAGCCTGCCCCAATGGCCACATAAAAGTATGTGACAGCATGAAGCACGGTCCCTAGTAGAGGGAACCTTGGTATTCTCTACATCCATACTGACTACCTGAATGGGCTGCAGAGGAACTATTCTGCCAGATGTACCCAGGATTTCCCCTTAAGGGAACAAACCAGCATGTTTGTGTGATATGGATGATCTATCTGGCCCCTGGACTGAAAGCAGATTGACTGGAAAGGCAGTCATGGCATGCAATAGTCCTAGGGTAGAGCACTGGCCTTAGAGTCAGAACTCCAAGCCTAAACATCACACAACTTGCTAGAGATGCCTGAACAAATTACTTGACATGTTTTCTTATCAAGATTACATGAACTATTTGAGATCTTCAGCCCCAAACCAGAACAAGGGTACAAGTTGGGGCTGTTCATTGGACCTCATGCCAAAAAAGGGTTCTCTCACAAAACAAGTGGTTCTTTTGTGCCTTACACAGACCCAGCACATGTTATCTTCACAGGAAGACTCCTCTGTTTCTCAGTTACCCCAACAGCATCACACATACAACTTCATTCCATCTTCCAAACTGAATCAGCCTCTTTTAGCCTCTCCTGCTGCAGCAGTCGCTGACACACCAGCTAGGCTCCCATCTATCAGCCCCTGTCTTCTCTCCATCAGCTGTTATCACAGCACACACTTGTATGAACTTAAGTAAACAGGATGGATCCTGCTTCACAGTGATAGCTGCCATGCTCAGAAAGACTTAAGGTGAGGAAGTCAGAAGTTTTGGCAAGACTGTCTTCCTACGGCTGTGCACAGGTTTCACTATGTGATTACACATTACACATACACTGTCAAGGTAAATATGCACCATACCTGGCAAAGAACTGGTACCAAAAATGGTCAAGCAGTCGAGAAGAACAGACAAATTGATCCGGAATGTCACTGATTCCTCCTGAACGGCATATTCCTGAAAAATTTCTGCCTGTAAGAGAAAGGGAAGAGATGAAGAGAGAGGAGTTTCTGCAATAATTTTACGGTTTACATTTATTTCCTTAAATGCAGTGCTTTCACTTTCAGAGATCAGTGCAATACAAAGTGATTTTGACATGTAACAATGGGTCTTCAGCCTCAAAACTAGTAAAATAAAACTGGGTCACAACTGAAATAAAGTAGCATGGCATAAGCTTGAAAACCTAAATGCTTGTCTTTTACAGTTTAAAAACAAGCTACAAATGTTAAAGCTGACTACTGCTGGAGGGAGACCATTCAGGGGACCTAGTTTGGGTTGGAAGGGACCTTTGAAGGTCACCCAGTTCCAAACCCCCTTCAACGAGCAGGGGGATCTTCATTTAGATCAGGTTGTTCAGAGTCCCATCCAACCTGGCCCTGAATGTTACCAGAGATGGGACATCTACCAAATCTCTGCGCAACCTGTTCCAGTGTTTCACCACCCTCATCCTAAAAAAATTCTTCCTTATATCTAGTCTAAATCTACCCTCTTAATAGTTCAAAATCATTAAAAAGATTGTCCACACCTTTCTTATAAGCCCCCTTTAAGTACTGGAAGGCTGCTATAAGGTCTCCCTGGAGCATTCTCCAGGCTGAACACCCCCAGCTCTCTCAGCCTGTCCTCACAAGGGAGTTGCTCCAACACTCTGATCATCCTTGTGACTTCCTCTGGACCTGCTCCAACAGGTCCATTTCTTTCTTGTGCTGAGGACTCCAGAGCTGAACACAGTACTGACACGGAGCTGAACACAGTAAAGGTGGGGTCTCATGAGAGTTGAGTAGAGGGGCAGAATCCCCTCCCTCAACCTGCTGGCCACACTTCTTCTCTTGATGCAGCCCAGGATACAGTTGGCATTCTGGGCTGCAAGTGCACAATGCTGGTTCATCTCCAACTTTTCACCCACCAGTACCCCCAAGTTCTTCTCCACAGAGCTGCTCCCAATCCCTTTATCCCCCCAGCCAGTATTGAAAAGGGGTTGCCCCGACCCACATGCAGGACCTTGCACTTGGCCTTGTTGAACCTCATGAGGTTCACATGGGTCTACTTCTCAAGCTTGTCTAGGCCTCTCTGGATGGCACATCCCTTCCCTCGGGCATGTCAACCACACCACTCAGCTTGACATCATCTGCAGATTTCCTGGGGGTGCACTCGATCCCACTATGTCACCAATGAAGATACTAAGCAGTACTGCTCCCAGCACAGACCTCTGTGCGACACCACTCATCACAGATCTCCATCTGGACATTGAGCTGTTGACCACTACACTCTGGATGTGACCATCCATCCAGCCAGTTCTTCATCCCCCAAACAGTCCATCCATCAAGTCCATCTCTCCCCCATTTAGGGAGAAGGATGTTGTGGGGGATCACATCAAGGCCTTACAGAAGTCCAGACAGATGACATCCATAGCTCTTCCCTTGTCCACTGATGCAGTCACCCCATCAGAGAAGGCCACTAGGTTATTCAGTGAGGACTTGCCCTTGGTGAAGCCATGCTGGCTGTCTCAAATCACCTCCCTGTCCTCCCTGAGCCTTAGCATGGCTTCTAGGAGGATCTATTCCATGATCATCCCAGGCACAGAGGGGAGGCTGACAGGTTGGTAGTTCCTAGGGTCCTTCTTTCTACCCTTTTTTAAAAATGGGTGCAATGTTTCCCTTTTTGCAGTCTCACCTGACTGCTGTGACTTTTCAAATGGAGAGTGACTTGGCAGCTGCATCAGCCAATTCCCTCAGGACTCTGGGATGCATCTCGGCAACTCCCACAGACTTAAGTATGCTCAGGTTTCTCAGGTGGTCTCAAATCTGATCTTGTACAATCTGATCTGCTCAAGGTCCATTCACTCCAGGGGTGTGGGAAGAGAGATTGCCAGCAAAGACTGAGGCAAAAACTTGTTGAGTACCTCACTCAGCCTTCTTGTGCATTGTTACCAGTTTGCCAGTGGTGTTTGGGGGGGGAACGCTTTCTTTGCCCTTCCTTTTCTGGCTGACATATCTACAGAAGCCCTTTCTATTGTTCTTCATGTCCCTTGCCAAGTTCAGCTCCATCTGCGCCTTGGCCTTCCTGACCCCATCCCTACACAACCAGCAATGTCCCTATGCTCTTCCCAGGATACCTGTCCCTGCTTCCACTGCCTGTGCATTCCCTTCTTGCCCTTTGGTTTGACCATAAGGTCTTGACTCATCCACGCCAGTCTGTTGCCTTCCTTTCCTGATTTCTTACTCATGGGGATGGAGAGCTCTTGTGCTCTATGGAAAGTGCCCCTAAAGATCTGCCAGCTCTGTTCCACTCCCTTGTCCCTGAGGGCAGTTTCTCAGAGGGTCCTATTGACTAACTTCCGCAACAGCTGGAAGTTTGCTTTCCTAAAATTCAGGGTCTGGACTTTACTCTTTACCCAACCCATATCTCTCAGGACTACGAACTCCACCAGTGCAATACAAGTGCAACTATACAACGTTCTCCTCCAAAAACTATACTTACTCACTTTTCTTCACCTAGAGCATGAATAAACACTTCAAGTAACAAAAATATGTAAGAACAGAACAGAATAGTGAGTTCACCACATTGCAACATGTTGAAATGTGCCTTTACTAGTCTGATGGGGGTAAACTATTCCAGGCTACCGTCTCTGCCACTGGGCACTAGCTGCTTTGTAGTAACTGCAGCAACAGAATATCTCAGAAATAAAGCAGGGTCATGTGAGCTGCTTTTGAGAAAGCATTTACTATTTTTACTGGCAGCCAGGAGGGCAAACCGCAGCCTGGGGTGCATCAGACACAGCACGGCCAGCCGGGCAATGGCAGGAATTATCTGCTGTGTTCAGTGCTGGGGCGGCCTCACCCAGTGCTGCGGGCAGGGCTGGGCCCCACAGTTTCAGGAGGATGCGAAGGTGCTTGAACGTGTCCAGAGGAGGGCAGCAAAGCTGGTGGGAGGGCTGGAAGGCGTGTCCTGTGAGGAGGGCTGAGGGCTGGGCTGGTTTGGAGAGAAGGAGGCTGAGGGGAGACCTCATTGCTCCCTACAGCTTCCTGAGGAGGGGAAGGGGAGAGGGAGGTGCTGAGCTCTTCTCCCTGCTATCAGTGACAGGACACAGGGGAACGGCTCAGAGCTGCACCGGGGGGGTTAGGCTGGACATAAGGAAGCATTTGTTTACTGAGAGGGTGGTCACACACTGGAACAGGCTTCCTAGAGAGGTGATCGATGCCTCAAGCCTGTCAGTGTTTAAAAGATATTTGGACGATGCCCTTAGTAACATGCTTTAACTTTTGGTCAGTGTGAAAGTGGTCAGGCAGTTGGACTAGATGATCATTGTAGGTCCTTCCAACTGAAATATTCTATTGTGTTCTATACTTAACAGCTCAAAACTCTCAAAGGCACCTCCAGTCACTGTTCTGCTCCTGCCCACATATACCCACTGTTTAACTTCCACTAGCACGCACAGGCCACTTCACGAGCCAGCTTAACTTACTTGAATAGCAGAAAGCTAACCAAACAAATACAGCACTAATGTGAAGGACTGTGCAGCAAGGAGCAGAAGAAAGCAAGGGGAGATGCAGGAACAGGAAGACTCAGGCTTCTCCCCTTTCACACACAGCTCAGGCTGCAGTTTCACAGATAGCAAAGGCAGACTCTAAAGGACAGAAGAAAGGCAAAGTTGGGTTTGAGTTACAACCATAACATTCCTCACCCCTTCCATTTACATCCCCTGTATCATACATGCTTTCAAAAGCAGGAACCAGCACGACACCTGTTCTTATGAACAAACCACTTACAAGCTGGATATGTAATAAATAAAAACAAACAAAAAACACTCAGAAAGTAAAATATTGTAAATGAAGCAAAGCTGGCAGTCACAGCTACAAATGAGGTAGTGGAAAAGCAAGCAAGGCTGCTTTTGATCTTTTAAATGCAAGTTAAGAAAAGTAATTTAGATTGCTATTTAAACCTGCCTATATGGACAGTTCACTGTAGCTGAGATCCTCTATGCGTGACCTCCCAAGCACCCTTTCTGGACAAAGTTCAGCACAGGCTGGATCAGAGCATGAAAGGGGCAGACCACTGCTCTAGTCCTGTGATAAAACACGTGTTCCTGTGGTATGGCTGGAAGCTCCCACCTTAGCACAGCTGATACACTGCAGGTGAGTGTCTATGAATTTGCTCTCTTTCAGAGTTGACTTAAATTCACCTTTTTGGCTTTGGGATGAAACATGATAAAATTACTTAGAAGACAGACAGATACTTTATAAACTTGGTCATCCATCTGAGTGGTATGGTCAGTAGGATCAGCGGGCTTAGCAGGTGCCAAGACATTAAACAAGAAAACAAGCTCATCACACAGCAGGCATATAGGAACAAGCACTGAGCTCGGCCTTTCAATAGCACAGACATCTCATAAGCGACCACGGCACCTCCTTCACGTCAGCTCCCACCCCTATGCCGTGATTTCAGCAATGTTTTCCCTTCTCTGCGGGTAAACTCGCTGCACATCCCCTCTACCATGTAAGCCGGGCCTTTCTAGGGTCTCCGAGAGCCGCACTAGCCCCTCCTGACCGCTGGCCCCGGGTAGGGGCCGCCCCGCCAGCAGCGGCCGGGCCCGGGGCCCCACCTGGATGAAGGCGTTGGCCTGGATGCACTTGGCGTCCTCCACCGTCACCCTGAGGCCGTTGGCCGTGGCGAAGCAGGTGGCGTGGTCCTGGAAGTGGACGGCCCTGAGGATGCTGGAGAGGTGGCGGGCATTGTCCAGGCTGGCGGTCAGCACGTACGGCTCGCCGCTGGCGGGCGGCTGCGCTGAGAACGGCATGGCGAGCAAGCGCCCGCCGCCACCGCCGCGCTTCCGCCGGGGCCGGAAGTGCGAGACCGGAAGTGTAAGGGACATGAAGAGCGGGAGCCGGAAGTGTGGGGCCCGGAAGTAAGTGCCTGCGGCAGTGGGCACGGCGTGGTGCGGCGAAATGGCGGCGGCCAAGAGGAAGCGTGATGGCCTGGCGGCGCGGCCCAAGAAGCGAGCTAAGAAGGCCCCGAGCGCGCCTGAGCCGGATGCCGATCCGGGCCCGGGGGGAGCGGGCCCGGAGGAGTACAGTATCCCGCCGCCGGTGTCCCAGGTACCTCCCAGTCCCACTGCCCCCGACGGAGGGGGCTGCGCCGGGCCTGGTGTCCCTGCCCTGCTTCCTGCCTGGGCCGGCGTTTGCCCGTAGGAAGGGCTCCTCGTCGCCGTGCCCAGGGCTAGCGTTAGGGAGGTATTCCGCCTCCAGGGGCGGGCAGCAGAGGCACGGGTGACCCGCTATTGACGGTTCCTAGAGGGCGACTTCTGCGGCCTTGGCTGCTCCCAGGGCTGGGGCACCGGGACTCGGGGTATCTGGGGGGAACCCAGCCGCTCAGCGAGGATAGAGAGGCTTGCTCGTACTTTTTTTTTATAATCCTGGCTTACATAAAAGCAACACGCTGTGGTATGTAATTTTTGTGGAAACAGGTGAAGAGCATTACTCTGGTCGTTGTGAATTAAAATGTGTTGCCTTAATCTCAAACGTATTTTAAAGAGTTGAATAATTCTGTTATATGCGATGCATATATAGGAATTATGCCTGTTTCATTTAGGAATCAGCCTGAGGTGGCTTCAATAATTGCCTTGTAGTGTGCCTAAAATTAAAACAAAAATCATGTTAAAGTCAGATCTCCTCATATGTTCTGCTGTAGGAGAAGCTAAATTGTGCCCTGAGGCTGTAGCTCGAGTTATTTTTTAGGGAAGGAGGGGATGCCTTTTGCAAATAAGCAATGCATATGGTTTTCTTAATACCATATATACTTTATGTTTTGTAAAAGTGAAAGTCTTTACATAGGAACACACTGAAGCAGGATGAATGATGGTTCTTCATGTAAAAACTTAGGCCCCTGTGTTCTGTAGGAAAGTCATCACTGGCTAAGAGAGTGATTCTGTGCAGGTGGGCAGATGATGTTAACAGATGTTCTTACTGTGTTTGCCTGTAATTACAGTTCCAACGTTTATTGTTGGTGTGCTGTATTAGTTTTAAGCCTAGAAACTGCCTGCTTCACTTTGGTGTCTTTTTCCTAGGGTAAATGGAAAAACAAGGAGCGAGTGCTTATTTTCTCTTCTCGTGGAATTAATTTCAGAACGAGGCACCTAATGCAAGATTTAAGGACGTTGATGCCTCACTCTAAAGCAGGTAGGCATCATCCCTAACGTATTTTCAGAATAGCTTTAAACCAAGAGCTTCTAACTATCTTCTTTTTAAAACTGGGGTACATAACTGTGTTGATGAAACTTTTATCTTAAACACCACATTTCTTTTGAGCCAACAAATACAGTGACTGTTGTTGTATCTGCATATTTTCTGGAAAATTATTCCTGTGGTCTCAGTCCTCTAAGTGCACAGACACTTTAGTTGCTATGTCATGTATTGCTTAACATGTCTGAAACAACTTGATTATTCTTAACCTTTCCTTTATAACCAGTAAAATTTTTGCAAAACAATTGACTGTTAAAAGAACTTCTTGTGTTAAATTGGTTTTCAGCCTTCTGAATGTTGTTCTTTTTTTCCAGATACTAAAATGGACCGTAAAGACCAGTTGTTTGTAATTAATGAGGTAATCCAGGATTTAACTAGTGCGCTGCTTTTTATTTTCTCTCGAAGTGCAGTGTGTGAGAGAAAAGGGCAACAAGTTCAAAGTAACTCATACAAGTTATAGGACTTGTATAAGTTCATAGATTAAAATTACTGATATTCAAAAAGTGCTTATGTTAAAACAGGAAGTTGACTTTTGATTAATAAAACCAAAATGAAACCTTTTATTAAACATAGACTTTTGTCATGAAGAAATAAAACGGAATCTGCCATTTTAATATAGGTGAAAGGTGTGTTACAGTTTATACTTGAAGAAAGCAGGGAACAAATACACAGCCAGGCCAGACAGTATAGTAGGACATGGGTAGTTCTGAAACTAGAACCTAATGTTAGCTCCTGCTCTAATGTTTATGTCCTGGAGAGCTTTCCAGACTGCTTGTAGCTTTAGTGAAGTTATTATTCCTGGAAATAAATACATGAGATTTTTCAACAAAACAAGTGCTTCAACTTAAGTTTGGGGATTAGTAGCTGTAATTCATTAAAATCAGACCTTTGCTTTTGAGTTTGTATTTTGGAAAGGGGAATATCTTAGAGAATTATGAGAATTTTGTAAACATCTGATTTGATGTGTCTTATGTAGGTGTGTGAAATGAAAAACTGCAATAAGTGCATCTTCTTTGAAGCAAAAAAGAAACAGGATCTCTATATGTGGTAAGAAAATGCTATCTTTTCTTACACTTTTATATATAGGTGGGGATACTGCCCTTCCATTTAAAGTTTCTTACTCTAATAATGAAGATGCATAGAATAGTGGTGCTTAGTTAAATCTGTACTAATCTTGCACTTCTGTGGGTAGTACAAGTTTACAGTGCATGACCAGCTGTTGTAGACTTTACAGAAGCATTTTACAAAATTGTTTTGAAAGCAGGTGTTCGTAAGTATGTTAAAGGAACTCAGTAATTATATAAAAGCAACTGAAATGGCTTCAATACAGAAACAGCTGGTTGGAGTGTACTGCAGAAATCTGGCATACCTTCTGGCTGCTGTTAACGTTTTTCTTTTCTCTCTTCCCTGCTACCTGTCCTTTGTAGGTTTTCAAATACACCACAGGGACCATCAGCTAAATTCTTAGTGCAGAATGGTAAGTTGGTTGATATTGTGTTTGGACTCCTGCTTTCTTGTCTGTACAGTTTTCTGTAAGTACTGAAATAATCTTTTTTTTAAAAAAATCACTGTAGTGCACACACTGGCTGAACTGAAGATGACAGGAAACTGCCTGAGGGGCTCACGGCCCCTTTTGTCTTTTGATCCAGTAAGTATAGGTTTTATTTAATTGAGTATGCTTTTGTTTTCTTTGCATGATTATTGTATTTACCTTTGTATGCAAAATTTTTTTTGTCTTTGTAGACATTTGACAAGGAGCCACATTATGCCCTGCTAAAAGAATTGTTTATTCAGGTCAGTCTGTAGTTCTTCTGTCCAGTGTTTCTTCCTCATTGGAAGTGGCTTTTGGCAACATATTTTAAAATCTCAAGTACTAGTTTTACACTCTGAACTTGCAAAAAAATCTTCAGAGGTTTAGAGTCATGTGCTTAAAATCACTGGGACACTTGTTCCTACAAGTTTTGAGTTTTGAAATTAACTTGGCATCGAGATCATAGTAAACTAAAATTAATTAAAAATGAGCCATTTATGTTTGGCCTCTTAAATTACAGATACTTAGAAATACTTCATTTTATTACAGGTATTTAGTACACCACAGTATCACCCCAAAAGCCAGCCTTTCGTAGATCATGTTTTCACCTTCACTGTTACAGACGAGAGGATTTGGTTTCGGAATTACCAGGTTAGTGGTCTCTTTTAGCTCTTCAAGAGTAGCTCAGTGGCATATGTCACATCAAATCCATTAATTACAATAAATTAAGAAGAATCATAATTATCAGGATATGTCAAGATGCAGTGCTTTCACAAAGTAGTTTTGGTTTCTTAAAATGACTTACCCTCTCCCATATTGCAGGGAAGAGCTGGTTTAAGTTCTGTGTCATTCAATTTACATTTTGTTAGTTGTGGTTCTGTGGTGGTTGTCTTGGCAATGGGAAGTACTAGCCAAAGCCTAAGCTTTGCTTGCCTTCTGACCGACCTTGTTGTTGTGACCTGAAGTGTGCTGGAGCTTACTTTCTAAAGGAGGACTTCACGAATACGTAGTACTCTCCCAAGTGCTTGCTCGAACCTAAAATAACTCTTTATATACAGAAATCTGTTTATACAAGTCTAGCTTATCAGTGTCAGTGGCATCGTATCTTGAATGAATCACCATATGCAAGAAGCCTACAAAGTCATATACTTTGATGCGATCCCTGAGAAATGAAGTATTATTTTTATTGCAGATAATAGAAGAAGATGCATCTCTAGTAGAAATTGGGCCTCGTTTTGTCCTGAACCCCATAAAAATCTTCCAAGGTAGTTTTGGAGGACCAACTCTGTATGAAAATCCCCATTACCAGTCCCCAAATATGGTAAGTAGCTTTGACATTGTCTTTCATTTACAACTAATTTGAAAACCAATCTTGCAGTCTGTCTGTGCAGGAGACTCACGTATGCCTTTCCCTGGGACCCCTTGTGGAAAAGAGTGCCCTAACTGATCGCAGTTTGAGAACAGAGTAATTTTGTGAAACTGGAATGAATGCAAAATTCCTGTAACTGAAAAGATGGCATTACAGGAGGATTTTGACAATTAAGAAGAGAAATTACCACCTGTTTCTTTAATATCTGATTTCTTCCATCTTGTTTATTTGAAACCTGGTGTAATTTTAAATTTTATTTTTATAGCATCGACGACTGATACGATTGTCAGTGGCAGCTAAGTTTAGAGAGAAACAGCAAGTGAAGGAAGTACAAAAGATTAAGAAAAAAGGGACAAAGGTGCTCATTGGAGAAGATCCCACTGAAGTGGTCTTTGAGACTCCAGCTGAAGAAAAGCCAGTGGAAATACAGCTCGTAAAACCAGAGTCAAAGCCAATTGTCAAAGATAAGAAGAAGCTACGCAAAATACAGAGGAAGAAGCAAAAAAAGCTTTTCAGAACTGAAGCATCAGCATAAATGTTACAAGTGATTAAATTACCTATGACGTTATACTGTAAATAGCTGTTTTTACAGGCAAAATGACTAATGACTTCAGTTTTAAGTAAAATATCAATTTCTTTATTAGGATTGAGTTTGCCCTCTTACTGTCTTATCCTCTTTGATTCTGGGTTTTGAAAAACAACATGGCAACAGGGAAGGGAGAGTAAGAGACTCCAAATATTTCTGCTTTTGAGAATTGGCCCCTTACACCTGAATACCTCTGGGAAACAACTCACTGTAACATGTACAAGGAATAAAAGTAAGTGGGTAGTCACTACTGCTCGTCATGAACTCTGTGATTCAAAAGTTTCCTAGTCTGACAACATTAAAAAATCCTTTTCAAAGTTTTAACTTTTATATGAATTCTCTCTTGGGGAGTGGTGGTAATTTTTTTTTCTCATCATAATCCCTAGGGAATGCAAAGTGTTACAGCCTCTTAGTTGCTTTTTTTTATTAATAGTGAAAAAGCTGCTACTTTTGCCTTTTTGGTAGCTCCTGTACCTAGTCAGGTTCTTAGGACTTGAAACATAGCTTTGGGGGAGAAATAGGCTAATTTAGGATTCTAGCCCTCAATACCAGATTCATTGCAAGTTCCCTAAAGGCAAGAGCAGTGCTACCCATGATGGGTATCAAAACCATACACCTACTATAGCCAGAAATAGTAGCTCATGATTCTGTGTTACAGCAACAATGCTTAAAAGCACAAAATTCCATGATTTCATACACTTAACGTGCAAAAACCTTTTGTTTTTACAAAAATGCCATCCTCTTGGTTCAAGTGTATGTGTTGTTTAGGTCTTGTTTTTCAAAATAGTGAGTCCATACAGACTTTTCTATATAAAATTGACAAACTTCTAGTATTGTTTAAGTTACTACAAGCAAAAGCCTTGATTTTGGTTATGGGTAATATCATTACTCTAAATGCAGCAGTGTTCACTGCACACTGATGCGCAGCAGGCAGTCCAGAGCCTTGCCCACTGTCTGCAGTCGATGTTGCCTCAGAGCTAACAGCATGAGGTCAGCTTTAATTTGTATGTCCATAAAGCTTTTAGGAAATTATTGTCTGTGAGTTTGCCCTTTTGCCAGATGCAGTTAAATGAGCCACCATTCATAAGTTGCTAGCGGGGGAGTATACAGCTGTTGTCTCACAGAAAATATAATGTCATCAGCCTCCAACCAAATGAAAAAAATTCAACCATAATTGGGTGAGAATTCCTCTATAGTGCTCAACAAAAGTCTGATTCCAAGATACTCTTCTTAGCTGCTGTTAGGAAGTAGTTTCAGACCTCTCGGACTATTTTTTCATTACCTTTCTTTAATCTGCTTTCCAGTTTGAGACCTCATGATCTGGTGCTTCCACTGACTAGTGCTGTCTGTCTGCTCCCCCAGCTTACCTGTGTTTCGGGGTCTTGTTCAAAGCCTGTTTCTGTTTGGGTCTGTTGATTTCAGCCTCTGGTGTCTTGGTGCTGAACAGACACAGCTGGCACAAGAGGAAACTGACCTGTTAAGTGCTAAATATTATCCCACCCAGCAGGGCCAGGGAAACTCAGGTCACCTCTGTGATTAGGTGGTCTGTGTGCCATCTGATGGGAAAGAAAGAGTGGTGAATACAGGCATGTGCTCAGTTCACACAGACATACATGGAATCACAGAGTACCTCGTGTCACGAGGGACCAATGAGGGTCATCAAACCCAGTTCCCTGCTCCTCACAGGACTATGTGAAACTAAACCACATGACTAAGAGCATTGTCTAGACCCTCTTTGACAGGTTTGGTGTCATCACCACTACCCTGGGGAGCTTCTTCCAGCGACTGGCCACTCAGTAGTGGTTTGAGCCCAGAGGGCAACTGAGGACCACACAGCTGCTTGCTCACCCTTTCCCCCTCAGGAATGGGTAGGTGAAAATAAAGCAAAAGGCTCAGGAATCGAGATAAGGACAGGAAGGAGTGATTCACTCAGTATGGTCAGAGGCAAAAGATAGTCTCATTAGGGGAAGAAAAAACAAATTTAATTCAAACATTAACAACACCACTTAAACCAGTAGGACAGTGAGAAGTATTACATCTTAAAACCACCTTCCACCTACCTTGGGCTCAGCTTTGCTCCCAATTTCTCTACCTCCTCACCCCCAACAGTGCAGGGGGCAGGGAATGAGGGGCTGTAGTCAGTCCTGCCGCTTCTTCCTCCTCAGGGGGAGAACTCCTTGCACTCTTCTACTCCAGCATGGGGTCCCTCTCACAGGAGACAGTCCTCCATGATCTCTGATGTGAGTCCTTCCCAAGCTGCTCTGGCATGGGTCCCTCCCACCTGCTATAATCCTCCAACCACTGAACTACAGCAGCAGGGGCTTCTTCCCATAGTGTCCCAGCCTTCTTTGGGCGCAGTCACCTGCTCTAGCATGGGGTCCTCCACGGGCTGCAGGTGGGCATCTGCTCCACTGGTGACCTATGTGGGCTCCAGGGGCACAGCCTGTCCTCTCAGCATGGGGTGCATGGGGGGCTCTGCTCTGGCACACCTCCCCCCTTCCTCCTCCTTTCTTCCATTGTCCTCAGTGTTTGCATGGTGTCTCACAACTCATCCTCATGACTCCCACTCTTCCTCTCAGATTCCCTTTCTAAAACATTATTACAGAGGTGCTATAACATTCTAAAATGTTATTACACCATTGCTAATGGGCTCAGCACTGGTGCAGCAGTGGGTCTGACCTGGAGCCTTGGGAGCTTCATGAAGCTTCTCACAGGAACCACCACTGTTATGTCCCTCCCTCGCTACCAAAAACCCCACCACACAGACCAACACCCCAACACACTCTCTCAGTGAAGACTTTTCATAAAATCCAATCTGAACTTCACCTGACGCAGATTCCATTTCCTTGTGTATTGACACTGGCCATCAGAAAGAGGGGATCAGCAGCTCCCACTCTGCTGCCCCCTGTGAGGAAGGTGTAGACTGCCATGAGGGCACCCGTCAGCCTTTTCTCCAAGTTGAACAAGCCAATTGACCTCAGCTGCTCCTCTTTAAAGTCTTGCCCTTGGAGACATTTCTCCCATCTTGGTCACCCTCCTCTGGACACATTCTAATAGTTTGATGTCCTTCTTACACTGAGGCACCCAAAACTGCACACAATACTCGAGGTGGGGCCGCACCAGTGCAGTGTAGAGTGGGACAGTCACCTCCCTTGACCAGCTGTCGACGCACCCCAGGGCACAGTTTGTCCTTTTGGCTGCCAGGGCACACCATTGACTCCTACGCAACTTGCCATCAACTCAAACTCTCAGATCTTGTTTTCTAATCCGAAATTTAGTTCACGCAGTGCCAACTGATACACCTCTAGAGAAAAAAGTGGCTTGGGTCAAATCTGAGATCTCTGGAGAGCACAGGTGTCAAAAAGAAAAGAAAAAAAAAGTTAACGCTAATAACCTGAGACATGGGAGCTGCGCTGGCTGTACCCCCGAGTGTTCACAGAAATTCTAGCGCAGGCACTTGGCTATTTGACAGCGGGTGACTGTAAGACTGGAATCCGGCAGCGCGGGTGGGGACAGCGGCCACCCCGCGCTTCTCCTCCCGCCACCAGCCGCCC